AAAAAAAAAACAGATAATAATTCGTTAAGGGGTAACTCCCTCATCAAAAACGTTGTATTTACATAAAATAGACCTTTTATTTTATGTAAACATTGTATTGTATAATATATACGAGCGTTTAAACTTTGATATGTCTATAGTCAATACGCGAGCTAAAGATTTATTCTGTATACAAAATATTGAATAAAAAATCTTTTATTCTCCCCCAATAAACATTTTAATGGTGTCCGGTAATAAGGCTTACATAGATTTTGTCGTTTATAATAATTTTAATGAATTCGTATGATGTTTTAATATTAAAAGCAATACAAAATAAAATAAGTATTTCAAATATTTAATAACTAATGTCGCTAAAAATGTTTAGTGAACATTTTTTTATTCTATTATTTTATTTATTTTTTTTTTTTTTGTAAATGCAGTTCTTTTTCCCTTATGTAGATTATTATTGTTATTATACATAAGGATGATTCAAACCGCACTGCACATTTCAAATCCTGCCGCGAAAATCCAACACCAAAATGCTTGTACAGGTCTAGTAGACGTATTATATTAATCAGTTCTTTTATGGCCTATGCTAATAACGCTAATAACGCTCGCGTGCATTGCAATAGTATAAATCGTCGTCGGGGTCTCGTTTCGTGCCGGGCACGGCCCCGCACTTGAATTTATTACAATATACCTAATATGCAATTATTGTTATTATGGTTTCGTAGCGATTGAATCGAATCCCCCGCAATGTAATAGGTAGTTGTTTGTAAAGGTTTCCGCGGAGAGCTTATATTTTGATCTACGATATATTTTTATCAACCGTCTTCCGGGTACGTACCTATTCAACTGCCAACACGCGGGGCTTGCAATGAACATTAGAACGCTTTGACTATGGTAAAAACAAACAATTTTCTTTCGCAAATGTCGCGTGAACACCTGTACCGAATTAAAATTATGCATTTTGTTTTCAAGTCCGTATACTTTAATATTATATTTAGAAAATGAGCGTATAATATTTATGGTTTATTCATAATTCCGTTTCGGTATAATTTAGTATGTGTCCAATAGCTTATCTATAACTATAAAATAATTAATAAAAGGTTAAAGGTGAAAAAAAAAAACACGACCGTTTGGAAAAAAATGGTGACAAATTGGAGGCAGATATAGAAAACGGAGAGAAAATTGACCTCCCTGCAATTGCCTACGCAATACGGCGAAAACATTTACGAATTTCGAACTTAAGTAGGCCAAAATAACGGTACCTGATAACCTCGGCTATACGCGATAACCGTGACCATGGTAAAAAAAAGTGAGGGGAACAGAGTTTTTTTTTGTTTATTTGTATCTATCAGAAGTTTATGTACCTCATTAATCATTCTGATATATTGTGTAGTCGTGTAAGCTGTTCGGCGAGGCTTTCGACGAACACAATAAACTTTAACCACGACAATGTGATATAATATTGATATTTTATTAAATTCCATAAATACCTATTCATCCCACTACAATATTCAAAATTAATTTGAAACAAATTTTGTTACGTGATACGTTTGAAGAAAATAATGGCGGGGGATCGTTTTGTGGGGACTAATGGTGTGGATTCAAAGTTCAAACTGAATTTCAGCTAAGTTATTAAACGCATTTTCCACTTTTACAGCAACATTGCAGGGCTGCAGCTATAAACAAGACGTATGCTCGGATTACCATGCCCTGATCATTGCTGAACACTACGATAGTTCATAGCCGAACATAGATAATAAATTCGGCGAATAATAATCAACGAAACAGTCTTTCGGTGTGGTAACACTGCAGGCGGTTTTGCCAAGTACGAATACTAACCAACCCCAATCGACGTTGATAACGTGAAATGTAAACAACATTTTTTTTTTATCTCTCGAAAATCAATTAACATTTTTTATATTCCTATTATATTGGACTTCTAAAAACAATAATTATTTAGCGTTTTAGTGTAGTATTTTTTAACAACACAACTAACAAGGTGATTATTTATTACTTTATAACTTTAACACTGTTTCCGGACTTCTCTCTGCGTCCCATACTCACAGGCCCGTGATGCATAGCTGCAGACACCGCCTTAATATATGTTCATTTTTTCCCACAATTGTTTTCGTGTAATTACTGAGAAAGTTGTGACCCTAAAGAGATTTCACTTGACCCATCATTTAAACTGAATTGTATTTTTTATCGCGTGTGTTATAAACAACAATTATAATATCAGTCCGTATGTCGGTTTATGTTTATATTATTTAGTTCCAACATTGCACCATATTATTAATAAAGAAGCTATGAAGAAAAATAATGTGCAGCAGCCGGCTTTGCACAAAGTCATAATGGTGGGTAGCGGAGGTGTTGGAAAATCTGCCCTTACACTTCAGTTTATGTATGATGAGGTATGTAAATATTTCCAAATATATAGTATTGATTTTGTTTGTTGCAACTGACACGCCCGATTATTAAAGTTTGTTGAAGATTATGAACCGACTAAGGCTGATTCGTATCGTAAAAAAGTAGTCTTGGATGGTGAAGAAGTCCAAATCGATATCTTGGACACGGCTGGCCAGGAAGATTATGCGGCCATACGTGACAATTATTTTCGCAGCGGCGAAGGATTTTTATGCGTGTTTTCTATTACAGAAGATGACAGTTTTCAAGCAACAATGGAGTTTAGGTATGTAACATATTAGTCGTTTTGTGAACCTATGTATATTTTCAGTTTATACTATAGCCAAGTCTTAACAGACTTAATAATGTTTCAAACGTTCTCATAGTAAATAGTTAAATAGGTAGTTAATAACTAATTCTTTGTTAAATTAAGATGAAACGGTTAATTTTAAACTCAGTAGTATACAATGAGTATGAATTAAGGCAGTATATAGAGAATAAATATTTTATGTACATTGTTTAATAGCTTCTATAATTCAACAGTAGCAGGAAAATGGTTATTATTTATGGTTGTTAATGGTTATTTATTAATTTTAGAGAACAAATTCTGCGAGTGAAGAACGATGATAATATACCTTTTTTATTAGTGGGTAACAAAGGAGATTTGACAGATAAACGAAAAGTGTCATTGAACGAAGCTCAGTCTAGAGCTCAAGAATGGGGTGTGCCATATGTCGAGACATCAGCTAAGACAAGAGATAATGTTGATAAGGTATATGGCTTGAAAAATTAAAATATTTTCTAATATAACAAATTGAAATCTGTTTAAAATATTTACAGGTATTTTTTGACTTGATGCGTGAGATTCGTGCTCGCAAGAAGGAAGATGTCAAAGGAGCGAATGGACGAGGTAAAGAGAAAGGCAGACGAAAGAAGTTGAAATGTAATTTATTGTGAAAATTTGGGACCATCAACATAAAAGAAATTTAATTCTTTATTATTTATTACTTTTTTTTAAAATACGCTATCAATATTTTCAATTTCCATTTTAAGTGATGTAATGATTCATCATCATAATATCTCCTAAAAATATATTATATTGTGGATTTTATATTAACAGAAATATGCATTTTTCCTTTTCTTTTCTCTAAACATTTAGCTTTTATATATTTAATTTATAATACATATGTATTAACTTATATTAAATTAAATGTGTTCCATGTGATGTTTAGAAAAAATATTTGTACGGGTTTCAATAATTAAACAAATGTTCATCTATTTGAAGACATAATAATATAACATCACATAAAGTGTATTAAATTATATTAGATATATTAATATTGCTTAATACTCAAATTATCAAAATCCAATAATATTATATATATATATTATTTATTTTATGTATTATTTTTATACAATTTTATTATATCAATTTTAAAGTATCAATTACTAGTTTTTTTTTTTATCTATTTATATTGTATTGGTGTGTAGTATCACTAGGTACATTAATATTTTAAAAAAAATATATTTAAGAATATATATAATATATATACAGTGCTATATAGCACAATCAGAAAAATAACACTTACATATTAGGTACTTGGATATTTTGATATTCACACTTATGACCACAGCCTGTCGGACAATATTTATTTTCCATAAACCATTGCTTCATATGATTAATGTGGCCACCGTGGGCACAACCTCGACACCAAGCGAACATTCCTTTTACGATCCTTTGACACAAAGCACACCGTGCACATTCAGATTGGCGACAACTGTAACAGTGTCGACTGTTTCGATTCAATCCTTTGAAACACAATCCACAACTCAAATACACAGAAGTGGAAGTCCGATGCAACTGTAGTATGCTATTGAGACGTGAGCATTGGATGACCTAAATTGTTTATTTATTATTTTAAAGTAACTCGTAGATTTTAGATTATATATTCATCTTTTAAACTAAATTACTGTTGTAGAGCAGGTCCACAATTTGAATTTATTCAGTAACTCTATATAACTAGCCCACCATATTTCTATTTCACGGAGTGTAAGGTGCCAAGGACGGTTGGGATTGGTGAATTCACTTCTGGTTTCATCATTTAGAATGCATAATACACTGACTACTGTTTGGATGTCACCCATGTCAGCATGATGGCGAAGGGCATTAACCACAATTTCAGATGGATTCCAACCATCAAATTTTGCTGGTGACGTTATTTGTAGTATTGGTGCAGAGGTCAGACAATTATCTATAAAACAATTGCAAATAAGTTTAAAAGGACATTAACCTGCATTTCTTGGGCTGGAATTCAGAAGATCCTATCATATTTTTTAACATTATTGTACAAGGGTAAATATAGTATTTCTGCGGATAGATAAAACTGAATGATTCTAGATATCATGATCACTACTATCTCTATTAACCTTAAAATAAACTTAAAAGATATTTTCTGTAAACTAAAAAATAGAAAAAAGTAACATTTTAAAATAGATAGAACATTCTAGTTTTAAGCCTGCGATTTGCCATCTCTTTTAATCTTACCAGTAGTATAGCAAAAATGTGTTCCTGAACTTGATTTTTAGGCCAAAATAAATGTGAGAAATAGTACTTAATGTCTATTAAAATGATTTTTGAATCGAAATCGAAATTACCAATAACGTTTTTAAATATAATTAGACAATTTTTTAAAAATTGTTCTATGAAAATTTACTAAAACTTCTCATATTTATTTTAACACAAAAATAAGTTTACTCAACCAACATTAAACTATTGGAACTATGATAATGCATTTTTTTATACATTGCTCATCAGAAAGCAAATACTGGTAAGTAATACTATCTGATGACGATCAATTAACTATAATTCAATTTATTTACTCATTTTACGAAGTGCTAGTTTGGGTACATAAGGATTATCGATTATAGGCTGATTCTTGATTTTGTGTCGTAAGTTTATGGTTCCTGTGGGCACTGACCATGCAATGACTTCTTGCACGGTTTTACTGTCCATTGGTAATCCGATTAAGTCATACTGGTCAAGGTCGGCACTCAAGGGATCAATTTCTGCATCGCCAAAATGAAAATCGCCTATTCGGTAAATCAAATCTTTTTTACCATCTTCATCACTGCTGTCATTACTATCATCACCACCACTTTCAATTTTGGAACTACACATTATGGTATTATTGAGGACAACGAGGGACATACGATGATCATACAGTATTCGTAGTATATTCCACAATAAATACACCTAAATAGTGTGCAAGTACATTTAGAGATGATTAATACTTTAATGCCAATATAATTATATACAAATTAATGTGATTAGAAATTATCATTGGAGATAACTTACAGTATGTCTACCAGCACTAGCAGCAACACTAGCATTGTGTTCACAGAGTTCACCTATTGATTTTCCTTGAAGTTTATATTCAAGAGCGCACATTTCAATACAGTGCGATGGATCATCAATGACTTCTCTTAAATTTTGGAATGATCTTAATATGCTCGATGTGTTTAGATCTTCTTCGCTGCTAATTGTTGTCGAAGTTTTTCTGTTACACACATTTTTACAACAGCAATATTAATATTGCCGTTTTTTTTTTTAACTTTAAATAGTTCTATGTATTTTTTATTAAAATATTTAGGTTACCTAGAATTTTCTTTGGACTTGTTATTCTCAGACTTTAAGTTTTCTAAATTGGCTGCAGTACAATGCATCAGATCACCGTTTTTCATGAAAACCATTCCATGTTGGTTAGAACGCTCCAATGGTAAATCAGCTTCACTCATGAAATTTTGATGTAAAGTGCTATCCTATTAATGTGTAGGTACAATTTTTATTAAAAAAAAAAAAATTAAAATTAAAATATATTTTGTAAACATTTAATAGATCTAACATAACTCTATTTGTCGACAAAAGTACAAATGGATCTCCTTTCCAAGCGATACAAGTAGCCACATCTGTGTGTTTAGTAAATGATGCATAAGGAATGTAAGGTCTACGCACATCCCACACATTTATAGCTGAGTCTAGAACTAAGGCACTGGAAGCCAAATGATATTTACGATATGGTCGCCACTTGATGCGTCCTACTGGGGCAGTAGTGCTTATTGTGTATTCAGCGATAGGCTTGTTTGTTGTGACATTCCACACCTAGCGAAAAAATTAAAAATAATAATTTAATTATTTGTATCTAGTCGTAAATAATAAAGAGCAACAATATTTCCTCAATGAATTTACTTTAATTGTCTTGTCACGACTTGCAGTTGCTAACAATTGAAGTTCTGAATGCCAATCACAAGAAAATACTGGCCCATTATGAGCAGAATACTTGCTCTGACATTTATCGGCTTTTCGAGAATCCCATATTTGGATAGTACCGTTTTCTGAAGCTGCAGCAAATACAAAATTATTGTGCGGACTAAATTGGACGTCTCTGATACTTTCCGAATCGCTAAAATATAACATTTTATGCATGGTGTAATTTCATGAAACATGTACACGTAAACTTTATACATAGCTAAAAAAAAAGGCAAGGGGGTTACAAAACCCTCTCTGGCTACGCAACTAAACTTGTAGAAATATTAAATGGGTACCTCGTGTAAGTTTTAGCAGGTTCTTTTAATCTCAAATCAAAACATTTTATGGTACCATCTTGAGAGCCAGACATCAACAAGTTAGGTTCACCTGTATGAAATGTCACTTTGTTCACGGTTCTTTTGTGGTCATAGAAAACGTGTTCTTGTTTGTTTCTAGACGCTCTGTTCAAGTTCCACGTGACCACCGCACCGCCAGTTGTGGCCGTCGCCAGGATGTTGTCTATAGAAATACAGGATAGAACTAATAATTTAATATTTTAAACGAAAAATAATAAGTCCACCAAACAACAGTACAATACACAACGTTTATCATTTGTTGTGACATTACCATCAGATGGATTCCAATCGACATCCATGCTCGACGAATTTTGTACATTGGATGTTTTGCCACATCGCAAGTTGACCCACTCTTTAAAGCCGCCTTGTTCGATGATAAACACTTTGAGTACTGAAAAAATGACAAAATGAGGATCGTGATAACTCTGGGATTGATACAACGTTGATCCTCAGTAACGAGCCCTGGGTCCTGTATAAGGAACACCCCGAGCATTAATTTATAATACGTTACCATTTCTACCGGCGACTACGACGTGAGTGTGATCATTGTTTAGAGCCAATGAGTACGCTGGACCTTCGTGGAGCACGTACCCTTTGATATTTTCGTTGGCCGTAACCACCGTTGTCGGGGAAGTCATCGTTCGTCGTCGTCGTCAACAGGACTTCCTGGTGAAGGACGCATTGAAAGCAATAGCCTCAAAGTGATAATGGACACGTGACGGGTGAAACAATTCAAATTTCAAAAATTATTATTTTTATTAAGTACGCGGGCTCAAAGGGTATCGGGTTATCCTTATCGGTCATTCCGGATGGGATACGCATGCGCAAAGATATCTATGGTTGGTCCATAAACTTTATAGGTACCTCATTCTGAGGTCTATGGGCCAACGCCGTTTATCCGTTCATCGCCTTTTATCACTCCGTCCGGATACTCTTGGATGCACGACTGATAAGACTACTAGAGAAACGATTTTTGTCTTTAACGATGCTATTTTATTGCTGGCAGTCTTCTACGCGACTACACCACTGCCCAGCGTAAATCGTACCACAGTTAATGCGCAAGCTTGATGACATGTGTAAATCTGACTTGTAAAATTGTAATTTCAAACGTGACTCGATCGCTTACTACTCCGGTGTTCATAACAGCTCTTCGTTTACCGTGATCCCTCAACACCCGATTTTGAATTTTTGTTCTATTACCCTGCTGCTATGATGGCAATGGTGACTTTTGTACGTTTGATCACGTAAACTGGATTTGCCTACCGGTAATTCAATAATAATACTAATTATTAACAAACAAACGAATTTTTCCCCTCATTCCTTTATATTTTATGCAGACAAGCTGCCGTCGAGTTTCGCGTACACGACACAGCAAGAGTTAACTCGCAATCGGCGCGCCATAACCCAGGCCCCAAACCATCCATTGCCTACGTACAAGCTGGTGGTGGTAGGTGACGGTGGTGTGGGTAAAAGCGCGATCACCATTCAGTTTTTCCAGAAGATGTTTGTAGCCGATTACGATCCGACCATCGAAGATAGTTATATTCAACACGCGGTTGTCGATGATGATTCCTGTGTACTCGACGGTAAATATGAACAATTCAATCCACAATTTTATTTCGACTTAATTCGTCATAGGTAATAATAAAATGAATGAAAATCGCATACTGGGAAATAATATTGGTTATTGTAGTATAAGTTTAAATATTTACCCTTAGCGATGTTTAGTTTTATGAATTTAGAACTTTCTATAAATAATACATGTTCAGAGTATCTACTATATAATGGAAATATCTATCTATTTTTAAATTAAATTTTTGACCCAAGATGTTATCTGCAATTTATGTTACCTACCAAAATCCTCTTCTACTTTACCTTTATCCCAACTATTAGGAGTCTGCCACCCTTGTTCTGATCTTTCACTTGACTCGATTTCTCACCTCATATACACCGGTTGTACTCATATCATTCTCAATCGTATCCAACCACTGCTGTCTTCCCCTCCATTTCTTTCCTCCTATTTTTTATTTTCATTAAAATTCTTGCTACTTCAGATTTCTCTCCTCGTGATAAATACCCTTACTATCTTAGTATATTTTCTCTTATTTTGTCTACTACAGAAGCTACACCCAAGTTACCTCTTATGTATTTATCCTTTATCTTCTAGTCTCTCCTTCTCTGTACTATTATTCTGTCTATTGCTTAACACTCCGAACCATATAACATAGTCATTATCTCCACTTGATCATTGACTTAGTCCTATGTTTGACATCTTCATGAAAGCCATTGTTCTTTTGTACAAAAGATCAAAGATACTTTAAACTCTCAACATCATCTATAACTGTTTATTGTCCTATCCTGCTCCTCTAAACTCATACTCTATTTTACTTCTTATTCTTAGTCCTTTTTCTTCAAATGTTACTCTGCATTTCTCAAGTCTATTGTTAATTTATTCCAGATATTCTCCTATCAGAGCTAAAAACTGCAAACATCTACAAACATCATGTACCATGTTACTTCCTCTCTCCTGTTGTCCCTGCACACATCTGAGATGGGAGAATCTGCCAGCCTTGTTTAGAATTCCTCATGCTGTTTGACAGAATTTTACACCGGATGTTGACTTGATAACAAACCCATTTGCTACCTCTCACAACAGGTAGTAGTATCATCTTAAGATATTAAAAAAAAAAGACCCCAGACCACAACATATACTAGGAAAAAAACATTTTTTCTGTTTAAATTAATGCCTGTTAAAAAACACCTCACCTATAGTTATACTGTTTATTGTCATCATTTATTGCAGTTTTGTTCTATCCCTCCAATGCATACTCTGTTTTACTACTACTTATTCTTAGTATCTTTCCTTTAAATGCTAGTCTATTCCATTCTTCAAGTATGTCGTTTACTTATTCCAAATTTCTTTCTATCATCATTATCTTCAATCATCATTCACTATGGTAACTACCTTTTACTGTTGTCTTTACACTTATTTATTTTATTATTAATTTTTCTTAGTACAAACAAAGCATTGAGGAAGATTGTTCCTATCCCTCCCACCCCTATGTTGCTATTTATATAGAGATATAAACGTTACCTACAACAAAATTGTAAACTTTTTCTGGTTTTGACTTCGAAGTTGTGTGTTTTGAATTGACCAAACTACTTTACCAGAAAACACAAAAAAGTAGAAAATAAAATGTTTTATTCTATAATTTATTAATACTCTATGCATAAAATTTAAACTTTTATTTGTTTTCTTTTAAATATTTAAATATTTTCTTTTTATTTGAAGTACTTGTTGGAGCTAAATATTTACTACGTAGGTAGGTATACGCAGATTATAAATTAGATATACAAATTATTTTTATTACTTTTCAACTATTAAAATTGATTTTATATTATTACATTTTTAAAAACTGTTATAATTATTTTGTTTTCTCAGTAATTTATCAATTTTTAAATAAAAAATACTTATTCTTGCATGTAAAAGAATATTTGTGTATAAAATTATAAATATGTTATTCTATACATTTTAAACTCATAGAAATTCGGTCTCTAGTTATGACTTGTAATAGTTGCACTTAAGGATATCAAACCATACATTTATTTAAGGGAAATCAAAATGTATAAACTTACATTGAATAATAAAAAACAGTTGTGCTTTTTTTAAATTGCTATACCAGAAATTCAAGCATATACTAGTTAAAAATCTAATAAAACATAACATATTTTTAAAATTTAAATCCTTTGATTTCAAATGTTATATTCTTTCGTAAAAATGGCCATATCCTTTCCCCTAGAATAGAAATCTGACAATAGACTAGAGGAAGTCTTATAATTTAGTTGATCATTGAATTGTAAAGAATTTCGTTTATAAGCCTGTTTCTATTTAACACATCTATATCCTATAGTTGAACCTTTGTATAGTCTATTTGCTTCGTATGACGAATTTTTGGTACCAAACTCATCTAAGTCTATAGCGTTATATTGCGCACACGTAGATCAAATTCGAGAATATTATTAGACTAATGCTTGAGTCCCATCCGATTGTTGTTTTTTAATAAATTATATTGGTGTTTGATGGCCTTCTGTTGCCACATTTTCTTACTATTCGAAATCATAAAAAAATTTAAAAAAAAAAAAAATTCGGGCGTCCCTAAAAACCTAATAAAACATTTACAAGTTACAACCATAGTAGTAGTGTTTATAATATATAATTAATTGAAAATCGTTAATAAATGTTATAGTTCTTTCATTTCTCCCCCCCCCCTTAGCTCTGTATACCAGAGAGCCATTTTCGCAACCAACCCGATAAATCCGAGACGTCTTTTAATAGATGAACCTACTGTTGGTTTTTTAAATCTGTTAAAACGTTTTACGTGTGTTTTATCCGCAGCGTGCATCTCACTATAACTAAGTACTTTTATGTTTTTTTTTTTTCAAAGAACACAATAGTATCGTCGTCAACTACTAAACAAGAACCCTTGAAAATAATTGCCCACCCATCGCTTCTTCACTCTCCTGCTTTCATCTACAGCTTTCGATAAAAAATTTAAAAAATTATTAAGCCGATTACCTACCGGTTTTCGTCCTTACTAGGGGACACAAAGGACTCTTTACAATAATAATAATATAATATTATGCTTCGGATCGATTGTCGTTTTTACCGGTGGGTACGGTGGAGAAAAAAAACCAACTGCGGTCGACCGTCAAATTGTCACCGACGACGGGAAAAACTTTTGAAATGAATGCGGAGCAAAAAAAAAAAAAATTCTCCCCCGATAATAATATCGTTATTCGGCGTAATTGCTGCCCAATAATAAAAGATTGACCGGGGCACCGGCACGCGGCGACCTGATGGAAAATTTCGCCGGAAGTCGAAAAACAACCGAAACGCCGCGGACAGTTTCGCATATAAAAAAAAAAAAAAACCGTTGAAAATCGTGTCTTTTTACGCGCACAGTAAACGACGATACCGCGTTGCCGCGCACTAAACCATACCACATAACGTTATTTTTCTGTTTTTTTTTTTTCTTCATCGTTTTTTAAATTCCGTCCGTCGTCGCATAATCTCGCGCAGGTATATTATTATTATTTTCACAGCGCGTCATTATTATCGTCGCGGCGCCTGTGAATTATTATTGTCCGCACACCCCCTCTCCCGGCGTTATGCGCGGTAATTATTTGTCGAAATGTGTTTTTGGTTTTTTCACACATCCACCAACCACAACTGCACACAATTATTATTATTATTATTATTGTTATAACAGTTCCCTAACAATATGATATTTACGTTTATATTAATCGAACAGACGGCGCGTGATCGGTTAACGATGCTTGTGGGTATACGCGAAAATACGAAAATAGGGATCCGGGTACGAATCGTAGGTATGTAGGTAACCCTCCGATACACCGTCCGGATACGCGAAGACGGAAAATATCACTGCACCCGCACGGCCGTAAACACCTTTCGTTTTTAAACAGCTTCCTCTCCCCTCTGCCGCAGAGACCGGAACTGATGAGAGATAATTGTATTATTATTATTATTATTCTCGTCGGTAAGCGTCCATAATATTTAAGATTTTAGCGACGAGCGGTTTGACGTTTTGACCGGATTACGGATGCGCAATTTGATTTTAAAACCGTTTAAAATAACATCGTAAATTGTCACGTTGTTCGATGCGTTTTGCCCGCCGGCTCTAATTTCACTGTAAAAGGAGTGACGTTTATATTTTTTTTTTTAAAAGATTTTCGTTCAAATTTAATATTAAAATTTTTATACAAAGAAAATACACTAAATCGACTCTTTTTTTTTTGTTTCTGTCCACAAAGTACGGCTTGTAATAAATAAATCGTCAAGTATTTCTGTTCGGTCAAACAATTTCATTCACAGAAGGTAGGTTCCCTACCGAATATAAATTACGTTAAAACCGTCGCGAAATTAAAATTAATTTATAGGAAACTGCTCAAATGGTTTAAAATGTTATCATGTCTATAAAAGGCAAATATAATTTTTTGTCATAAATGTCAATTCTCTATGAACGTTTTTAACTGAAATACAACATAAAAAAACAAAATTGAAAATAGCATAAGTGTTGGTTTCGTTAATGTTCTCGTTATTTTTACGTTTTTTTGGTTTTACAAAATTATTAAAAAAAAACTACTTTTTACTCACCAACCATGTTAAAAATTTAACATAAAAGGTCTTGTTGTTTTTCTATCGAAGCAATACGTCTGTTTGAAAACATAAACCGTACAATTTTAAATAAAATAATCATAGTATTCTGTAAATTTGTTAGTTTTTTTCATTTTTTTATTCTTCCTGGCTTTTCCCAATTATTATGAAATTACTTGGAAAATAAAAAAATCAACTAAATTCAAAATGTAACAAAAAAGGACTCTAAGCACCTTTAATTAAAGCAATAATGCTAGTAGAAAACATAATTTGTACTAGTTAAAAACAAAGAAATATTTGCTGTTTTTCCTATAATTTTGATTCTGACTTCCCAATTATTTTGAAAACCCCTTAGAAAATCAAAAAATGACATCTCAATGCACAAACTAGATAAATATCCTTTCATTAAAGGTGCTACACTTACACCAGAGCAAGATTTCTAGTAGAAAAGTTGCTTATATACACAAAAAATAAAAAGTATCAGTTAAACTAATAGATCTTTTGTTCCGCTCTGAATCTAAAAAAAGTACAGATATTCCTTTCATAATTTATGGCTACTGTAATAGTCTAAAAGGTATAAGATATTGGGTAAATAATTGCAATTAAGAATATTATTAGTTTCAATAATACTCCCATGGTAACCCAAAAATTAACAATAATAAAATTGATGTATTGATCAAAGGACTAGCTTCTGTAAACTTACGTGGTAACCCCAGGGTTAAATGGCGGTGGTGTCAGGACCTATTAATCTAGTCAAAATTTTAAATTGTACATAATACTATTGTAAAAACATGAATCTATGCATATAAGTAACTGTTAAAGTGTCTTTACTGGAAAGCTTCTTTAATCCTTTTTTTTTTTCAAGCCATAAATTCATTCATCTCTTTTACTTATTGTTCTAACTAGTAACAGATTGTAAATTGTATTAAACACAAATAAAGAAAAAAGTAAAAAAAAGTATTGACATATTGTATTGTCAGGTTTTATCATTTTTAAGAAAAATTGTTGGGAATCTAGAAATGTTATTCAAATAAAGTACTAGTGGTTGACAAATACCTATAATATTTTGAGAGAAAAACATCTTAGTAAATAGATCTGTTACCTGTTTAAAAAAAAAAATTAAATTATATACTTCATACAGTTAGATTGTATGTGAAAAATTCACTTTTTACACCAGATGATGCATAAAGTGATTTAATTTTCCATTATTAAAACTGTACTTGACACTTGCACAATAATAATATACAGTAGAAACCGTTTATAATGACATTCAAGGGACTAGTTAAAGTTTTTAATAAGATTTTCATTATAACCAAAATATAAAAACTTGATTACGTATATGTGTCTATCTATGAACATAATAATGTATTACAATCAAATGTCATATTTGTTTTTATCACTAAATCATTACTTGAATACATACAGAAAAAAATTAATTATAACGTTTTTTATTATTTTAAAATTAAATTTACAACAAATTAATTTTTTTAGTTTGTATAAAAATCATGCAGATTTTTCTAATATTACTAAAAATAACCATCATTATACTGACATTTATAATAATCGATACAAATTAATATATACAATGTAGGATTTTTGTCGAGACCATCAATCTACGGTTAGGTTACCTAACCAGTATTATTATAAACAATATCTACTGTATTAAAATAAATATTGTATTTTGATGTTTTTTTTTTTTTAATGGAGAACTAGAATAAATTTTCCTATCCCCGCTAAATAAATAATATCTAAATGTAATTTTTGTTTTTATTTTATTTTTACAGTGTTGGACACAGCCGGTCAAGAGGAATTCAGTGCCATGCGGGAGCAGTACATGAGAAAAGGAGACGGTTTTATGATTGTCTATTCGGTGACTGACCCGAACAGCTTCACAAACGTTCCTAATTTTTTTACTCAGATACTTCGGGTCAAAGATAGGTAAGTAGGTATCTTCGAGTAATTGAGCTGTCTGGTTTAGAATATCTGCTCAAACGATTAATTTATATTATTTTTTCCCATTTCAAGAGATGAGTATCCAATGTTACTGGTTGCCAACAAGGTAGACCTCGCCCATTTGCGAAAAGTCACTGAGAAAGAGGGCCGAGCTATGGCTAACCGTTTGAACTTGATGTACATGGAAACCAGTGCTAAAGACCCTCCGCAAAACATTGACAGAGCCTTCCACGAGGTGACTGTGCTCCTTTGTTTATTTTACAATCATAATATTATATGTAATTTTCTTTTTCTTGTAGGTGGTGCGCATTATACGAAACCATCCTAAAGAGTTGTCTGAAGAACGCCGTCGTAGACGTCCAAAATGTCTGGTCATGTAATAAAATACTACAAAACCATGAAAAAACTTTTGAAGAAACCAACTGAAAAATTGAAGTTTAAGTTTGCTTGAGACAAACAAAAAAAATGAAAGGAATGTACCGTGTATTTTATGATATTTTAGTGTTTTAAGTGAATATATAAAATGTTTTCCGTACAATCTTTGTACACGAATATAATTTATAACGCCAATTTAAGTCAAGTCTGAATGTTTTGAAATTGTTTACTAATATTATAATATTACAAATAAAGAACATAATATCTTTTAATGCGTATTATGTATTAATTATTTAATAAATTTTATATTATAAGTAAAAGTTAATAATGTCAGTAGCATTTGTACTGAACGTCATAATATTATCATTAATACGCGCAATTTTTAAACGACCGATGAAACATGAGTGAACAATTTTATTTGAATTGCTTTACATTATTTTTAAAAAAAAAATACATTTTTTATAAGTATAAGTTATATACACTTGTTGTAATATGTACAATAAAAAATAATAAAGCAGAATTCATATAAACAATTATTATTTCCCTATGCTGTCAATACTGAGCATGTCATCAGCAATATTGCTAGGTGATGTGTCCATGTCATAAATACTGTTTGATTCACTTTTTACCGAAAAATTATCATTGTACATATCTGTCGTTAAACTTTGTTGGCTAAAATTACTGTTTCCACATTTTAAGTCGAGAGTTGACTTGCTACTCTCTGGTGCTGATAATACACTGTCAGAATGATGGAGTTCGTTGGGCTGAAGTGGCTGGAACAAAAATGTTACATTAGGTGTTAGGGCTGTATTTTTTATTGAAAATAATTTATAAATTATGACATCAAATTATATTGTAATTTCTAATGTTTTCTAAACATCTAATAGAAACATTAAACTGACTTCATGATATAAATGATCAACTATATATTATTTCTTACAGGTGTGTATAATTTATGAATTTGGTTTAGCAGAGTTGTATTTTTGGATTCTACATCAAAAGACCCAATAGCAATAAGGAAAAATGTTTTAAAGTTAACTTAATATAAATATGTTTATTCTTGTAGTGTCAACGGTGTAGGAACATCAATATTGAACCCGCGTCTAGGTAAGAGCGATAGATATAAGATAAGTAAGAATAAGCACGCGAAATGTTAGAACATTAACTAGAATTAAGTGTTTATTGTTTATAGGCAACTAAATGAAAAGGAGAAAGCAAAAATAAAATAATGTACTTGGGTTTGACAAATATAAGGACTAGTGAGGGAATAATAGTAAAGATTTAAAAAGGATAGCGAATAAACTAAGTAAAATAGAATAATTACGGTCCAACTGATGCTGGATGAAAAAGTAATGAATTGTAGTAAGTGTATATGATCCACAAATAGGGTGTGAAGAGGAGGATAAGGAAGTTTTGGCATAAAATGGATAAGGTAATGCGAGGAATTCTTTACTCTCCTCTCTTGACTGTACACTGTATTTCAGAGGGAGAGGAGCAAATATGGTTTAAGGTATAGTCATAATAATATGACAACTGATAAATATAACCAAAAACTATTAAGAAGTGGTAAAATAATGTATCATCAATCAATATTTTAAATACAACTCTACACACATGCGGTAAACTTGAAAATAGGTGTAACAATTTGACTGAAAAAATAATCTAGATATTTGAGTTGAATATTGAATACCATTGGTACAGATTTAGATGCTTTTGGAGCAGAAGGTTTTCGCTTCTTGGCCGGATTTGAAGTAGCACTAGTAGTATTTGTTTGGGGACTGACAGGTTGTTTACCGGACCCAGCAATAGAATTATTTGGTGGATGTTCTTTTCGCCTAATATTATAACAAACACAAAAATAATAAATAAATAAAAACAAATTATTTCTCATAAATTTGATTTGTATGATATAATTACTAATTACTTTTTAGGTTCTGGCTTTACACTATCACAGTCATCTGACGATTCTGTCAATTCATCATCGCTACTGCTTAATTCTACACGCTCGTACTGTATCAGTCTGTCCAGTAGTACATTTTTATCTCTGATCGCTCTTAGCAGTTTACGTTGGGTGGTCTTCAGGGTCTGCTGAAAAATTTCGTTTTCCTAGAATATGACAATAAAATAAAAACGTAATAAGTAAAACAGGATCAACAAATTTGATTTTGGTTATGATTTATAAGAGTATCTTAATATTGTTCTACACATACTCACGTAGATCAAAAGTCTTAATTTTCTTTTCATTTCTTTATAATGTTCTTTGTAATTGAATTCGGATGTGCCAATTCCTTCGAATGTTCCTTCTTCGTTGGTCACCATATTCCCAACTGTTCGACAGACATCCGATTTTTCAGATACATCGTTCGGCGAAACCGAATGCATAGTATTAATATCGTAAAAATAAAATTTTAATTTTAATTCTAAATTATAGCATTCTCCGGTATTATGAATTATTATTAACTCAAGATCGTATTAATTATGACGATTGTCATGTAGAATATCTAAATAGATATTTTATCCTAAGAAACAAAATAACAAATATTTTACGTAAAAAGACTGTTTAACATTTAATTTTACATTAAATCATGCGGAAAAGACGTTGAATATTTTCATTTTTATACTCATCTTATCAGTGAACGATAATAATTCATAAGAACAAATTTCAAATTTGACGAGAGATAACTGCTATCTTTTAAATGTTTATTTTGAATGCTTATTTATTTATTTACTAACAAAAAATTCTACAAATGAGATAAGATGAACGCATCTTATCATTATAACATGGTTGGTCTCAGGCTAGTGTATTCAATACAAATAAAAACGCCTTTATTTTAGAAAAAAACTAGGATCAGGCATTCTGCCGCGCTCTAGTAGTACTATTGCAAACTAAATAATAATATTAAGCCGGTGTCACACATGCATTTTTTCCGTAGTGGAATTGGCGCGAATATATAAACTTGATACTACAGCTCAATGATAGTTTTTATTTTATTCATACTTCAGTTTGATTTCATTTATCATACATTATAAACTGTACTTTCTTACTGGTACTTATATTTGCCGGTTGTATTATACCTTTTTCTACTATTATATTTCCCTTATATATTTTTTCGGATTTACCAGGTGTACACACAATATATATGAAAAACATTGTGCTTTTAATTAGGTACCAAAAAAAAAAAATATTTATTTATTTCATAATAAAAAAAAATACAATACAAAATGTCATTCGGATTCTTCACTCGCATCTCCCGTCATAGCAAACACACATGGTTCAAGGTTATCAATTAATAGATGACATAATGTCGTCGACTCGCCATATTTTGTTTTCCTCTTCCATTGTATGTTTGACGGAGTTTTTCTAATTTTCTGGCGTTACCCGATCGATAGCCTCATTCAATAATCTTTGAACGTCATCGATTTTGTATGTCGTGTTTTCCCGTTTCACGTAGCTTTTTATCATCGCTCATGCTAATTCAATCGGATTAAATTCACAGTGGTACGGTGGTAATCGATGTACGGTGTGTCCTGCATCCTTGGCCAAGTTGTCGATGATGTAAGACTTTGTTGCCGGTTACATAGAACGTACAATACACAGCAGTTTAGGCTTTGACATCGGTCTTTCTGGAATAATGCCTTTCGACTCGAGCCATTTCAATATTGTCGTTTTCTTCCAATTTGTTGTGGGGAATTTTTCTGTTTGGACGGAATGGTATGGTGCGTTGTCCATAATGATAACGGAATTCGGATCAAGCCCAGGAATAATGGACTCAAACCACTCTTTGAAATAGTCGCCATTCATTTCGTTGTGGTAATCGCAGCTTTTTTTTTTTCGACTGGGAACATAAGAGACCACCCTTTTTGAAGGTTAGGAAGTGATGGATCTTCGTTCACTGCGATTAATATTTTACCGATGGTTCGTAGTTCGTGCTTCGACCAAATAGAATGCACCTTTTGCCGTAGTCCACTGCGATCTAAATCGTCGATTCTATCGAACAGCGATTTCTTACATCGCTTCGCACTTGGAGACGTAACAGTATTTGTTTTTTTTGTACTTGGCAATAATTTTTTCTATTGATTTACGACCAACACCAGCGGTGCGATGCAGATTAACACACAAATCGTCATATTTTATTATTGGAGTTTTTTCAAATATGTCTTTGAACATATTTATTATAATTGTTTTCTGACGACTGCTGATACGCCGCAACAGAAAACAATGCGTATATAAATAAAATTCACTAACGATATTTTAGAAACTTACTTTTCCTTTTGGATAGAGTATTTAGTATAGGTAATACTATTGTTTAAATATATTTTATATATTTAATGATAATACCATAGACCAAAAAACATATTATCAGGTCTATGGGTAATACACTAATATTTATATTTTAAATAATTGATTCTTAGATCATAAGAATTGATTAATATTTAATTAATAGTATTATCATTGTTAAATTTAGACAATGGTGGGGATAAATCGATTTCCATCGTCGAATCTATGCTGGTGTAAAATAATCCATATCAAGCGTTAATAAACCGGTACAAAATGTATCGGTATACCGGTTTATATCAATGAATTTCTAGATGATAATAACCATTTTCTTATCAATGGTATAAGAACTAACTACAACGGAGTGCCATTTTCATTCTTTACAGATATAAACATTTTAAACCATAGAGTAATGCTCTATGTTTCAAACAAATATTTAAATTAATAATTTGTTATAATTTATAGATATTTTTACTAATTCGTATGAAGTACGAAGTGGTTAAATTAGCGATAGTTCAATATTAACAACTTATTCATGGTTTCAAATGTAAGAATAAATATACTATTATAAATTCGTTTTAAAAAAAAGTGATTCTATCATTTGAAAAATACTTATACCTACATTAGTTGTAGCCTTGTAATCAAACTACTAATAAATAATAACATAATTTAATTTGTTTAGTTTGTTGGGTACCTCTTTGACATTTGGTTAACGATAATTGCAATTTAATATTCAAGTTTAAGTATTAATTTAGAAAAATATGAAAGGTTATAAGATCACTAACTGTGCCCAAGAGAAGAGAATTGGTATTGTTGGTAATTCAATAAAAGACGTTTTCACTAAAGGATGTCAAAAATTAAAGGTAAAAGATTTTAGTATATCTACTCAACTATATTTTTATCTTTTAAATACCTACTTATAATGATATATTTTAAATTTTTCAAAAATTATGGCTTGAATTTCAATAATATGTAGTATACACTGTTGATTTTTTCCAGAATTAAGTAGTTATACTATTTTAGTTTTTTAATTATTTTACACAAAATTGGATTTAGAGATATATTTTAAGTTTTTTATTCTATTCTAAATTAAGGTGTTACATTAGTTGGAGAATATGGCTAGGTAGGTATGTACTTATGAGTTACTATTACCTAGCTAAATATGATTTATTTTTTTTGTTATTAATACACTTGATATTTGATCTAATTTATGTAAATTATATACAATTATGAAATTAATCTAATACAAAAACATTTTTGTTTTATATCTTTTAATATGTTATTAATACAATTATTATCTTGAAATAATGTAGATGGACAGTGAAAACGTGACTATGATGCTGATTGACGGTACGGTGGTTGATGATGAAGACTATTTTCAAACATTACCAGCACAAACATTATTTATGTTTCGATCAAATGGAGAATCATTTCAAACAGGTATCTGATGTATAATTGTTTACATTTCATCACAAATTGTACCTTTAATCACTTGACGAACTGGTGTCATGTATATTTTCATATTTATTAGGCTTTGGTCATATTCCTTTTTATTGTATATTGGAAATGTATTTGATAATACCCAAAGATTTCCTGTACGGTCAACCCTGACATCAGCTGGATAAATGTCAGCAGTTTGGTCCAAGCTTATTATACCTTGGGTTAATTCATTATATTCTTCTCCACTAAAAATTTTTCACCATTCTAGTATACACAATAATTATATAAAAAATAAATACAAATAACTAAATTACCTGTAGGAATTCCAACAACCAAGAACGTTTTTCAACAGAAGTCCATAAACTAAGACACCGGTTTCCATGTCAAAAGATGAAGCTGTTGCTTGTTTATTAACACCTCTTGTTCCCATTACTTTAAAATCATATACATTAATATTTCTATCATAATTCCCACTACGTACTATTTTGGAACTGACTGTAAATCCCATTGTACTGGCTATGCTATGAAAATAAATGCTCCTATAGCCATCTCTCCCTGTTGGTGAAAGTGTTATTCCATATAAACCCTTTTGAGACTGATAGTGTACTTCACCCAAAATTATATCGCCACAAAGAGGATCAAAATGAAAATAATTATGTGATAGTGCGAATGATTCATTAGTATTCCAATTGTAAACCAATAATCGATAGGTTTCACTATCTGGTATATATGCATATGCATTTCCACAAGTTGAAGATGTCACATCAATTTCCATGTTAGAGAAGTCTGAATTCATATTTGTTAAATGTGCTAGATTATAAGTTCTCAAATGTAAGTCAGTTTTTAAGTCATACACATGTAAAACTGTAGCACTTTCTCGTTTATTGTTTATTATTCCATTGTCTAATATCCATAAGCGGTCACAAACATCAGCTCGTACTTTGATTACTGATGTAAAATTATGTTCAGATATTTCGTGAACTTTCCAGTCAGGATAAGGAATTAACATAAGTGTGTTATTATTTTTATAACTTTCCATATCTAAATAAAAATTATATTCATACACATACATATTATGAAGAATATGTGATATCCACATTTACCGTTTCAGTTCAACTAATGGACAACATAATAAAATTACATAACTTAGACTTAAACTTTTAGGCAAAAATTAGAGTTTAAACACAGGTGACAAAATTCAAAGAGGAAACATTTTTGAGGGTATCACATTGATTTTGTTCTTAAATAATATCTTACAAAAGAGTTACAGCCCTGTTAGTTTTTGGTTTTTTATTGTAATTAATATTTTATATAAAAAAAAAAAACAATCTGTACTTGAAAAAATTCTCTTATTTAAATTTTGTTACTTGTGTTTAAACTATGATTTCAACATGAACTTATTATATTATTTTGCTAAAATTCACATTAGTAGTTAGATTAAGAATGTAATTGCAGGTATCACATCCTTTAATACCATAGATTATATTTAATCTTCTAAAAATTAATGCATTTTTTACTTGTGATATTGATGTAAGATAGCGTTACTGGTACATCAGACTTGAGTCTTGGCGTTACCAAAAATAATTTAGTTTGCCATCGTTCCAAAGCGACTGGCATTGTATTAGTCGATTCAATTTTATTGTTATTTTGAGATACCTTATTGGACATTGAAAAATGAATTTGTTGAAAATTAAATATTTCTTTAATCCTGGAGCTCCATGCAGAACACAATAAAAATAATAATATTAATATTAATCTACACATCATTTACTATGAATGTAATATCAAAATAATATTACTATACTGCTATTACTATATACTAATACAGTAGAACTTCCATTTAATGATCAACATAAAGACTAGAAGTAACAATTGCTATTTAAAAATGGCTGTTCTATACAGGCTATATAACATCCTATAATACTTAATGTGACAAACAAATTATTGTTTATTAGAGGTGGCTGTTAACGGAAGTTTCACTGTATAAATTGATATTTTTCTTGCACAATCATTTCCTAAAATGTTGGTATTGTTGTAGAACAAATAGTACATTATTTCATAAAATAATTGCTAAGTATTTAACCACATCAACTTCATTAATGCATGTCATAAGTGCATGCCAAATGTCCAGTAACATTATATTAGAATCTAAACTATAAGTGATTTCTTCTAAACGAGAATTGTATTATTTGAACAATAATGTATAAACAGTTATTGATATATTGTTTAATTTTTTTAATTACAGATCAAAAATTACTATCATCTAAATAATGTTAAAATATAAAAATCTTGGTTACACATGTAAAAATTATTTAATTATGTTTAAAAAGACCAGATAAAATTTTAGAAGATAATTGACATTCGACAATTTTTGTGTACAACATTGTCTTAAGTTTCACACTTAAGGTGCCTTGTCAGTCATCACAAATATTTGTTTTTCTATTTTGTTTTTATTTTTTCTAACATTTGATTAAAATTGTGTATGCACAAACTTTTTTAATACTGCATGTAGCACTTCTTAATATAAATATTAATATGTAAATTTTTGATTTTTCTATGTGGCATTTTTGGAAAAAAAGTAATTATACGTTAAAACTGTTATTAATGATTACTTATTTTTCAATAAATATTTACATTTTCTTAATTTTTAGGTGCTGATTTGGTGTACAACGTCCTGACAACAGTTAATAAAGACATACTACAATCAGCAATTAAAATAAAATCATTTTTTAATGAAAACATTAAAGACAAAATACGAATTTTGTCTTCAATTTTAGATGAAGATCAAAACCAAAATATAGATTTAACAACATGCAGTTTACGATCTAAAGATCCTGAATGGTTTCAAGGTATAATTATTTTTAATTGTATAATTTTCAATAATTCATTTTTGCAAGAAAAAAAAAAATAAGTTTTGCCAATTTTAATATAACTTATAGTTTTTATAAATATCTGGTATAATATTATGTAGCTCTATAGTTGAAATTATATTTTCTGTAGTAAGGAAGTGCTATCATTTATTTTTTTTTCTTCCAAAGATTTAGACACAAGAGCAAAAACAAAAGAAGAATTTCTGTTCAAACGTTGTCAAGAACGAATACGGAATTATATGTACAAAACAAAGACTGATATGATTAAGTCTGATTTTTATATAAATCATTCAAATTGCCGAAAATTCTTGGATGAAGTATACAAACAATTCAGTGAGCTTTTGAATAAAAACAAATATCATGGATATTATTTTGATAGATCAAATTCAAATTGTTTGTGTGATACTACTGGAATATTTACTTGCCAGGGCGCTTGGAATCAAACTGGTTGTTTTTACGAACGTGGTACTGGTCACAAAATTAATCCGTATCAAAACAGAGAGTGTAGAATTATATTTTCTACTTGGAATTTGGATCATTGGTACAACATTAAATATTATCTTTTAAATACAAATAAAAATATGTTTTTGATTTTGATTAGGGTTGAGAGATCTAGAACTGTGATACCAGCACTGTTTGAAGCTAGTATGATGGCATCCAAAGCCTACTGTTCCATAAATATGAATTATTTTTATAATTTACTCTTCACTACAGTTAATCTTAAACTTGTACATATTGTATGTCATGACAAAGGCCAACATGGTAGTGCTAAATGTGATTCAAAATTGTATTTAAAAGATAAACAGGTAAAGCTTTGTAATATATATATATATATTTGTAGTGTGTTTTTGATATACATTTTTGAAAATTTTTTCATAACACATAAAATCAGTTCTCAAATATTCAGAGTGTTTAAAATATTCAAAGTGATCTAACAATATAATGTTAAAATATATTCTTTTTTTCACAGAAAATCAAAAATACTGATTGTCACTTAAAGAATGGTTTGTGCAAAATAAAAATCAATAGGAAGTCCATTCAAAATTAATTATTAAGTAATTACCTACTATATATTTATAATTGAATATCCAAAACATAACTTTTAGGAGATGATGTGGGTTATACTGCTCACCCCATACATTTAGTATTAATTAATATATTTAAGTATAATGTTTGCTTATCCATTGAAGAAATAAACAGAATTTTTAATTATATTCATTAATAAATATTGGCAGCAGTGGGGAAGTATTTTGAAAATAAATCCTCCACTACTGTTGATATAAACATGAAAAAGATAAAAAGTATAAGAAATAGTTGATATTAATATTAAATTAAATTAAGATAATACAATTATTTTTTTTAAATATACTATTTGAATAATTTGGTATAAACTATTCGGTTGTGCATGAATACAACCATGCACAACCGATAATATACCTGAATGTAATTATAATCAGTTCAGCATTTTACCTGTTTATAATTTTATTTATGACTTCTTAAATTGAAATTACAGTGAAATTGTAAAATTTATCGGTAACTCTTTATCTACCATAGATTTTAATTCTTATAATATTGTAAATGCCTTTTCGATCAATTTTATTTTATCTTATACTATGCAATTAATATTTTTGTTATCTAAAAACAAATTTATAATAGTCGTTTCCCCACTTGGTTTTCTACTGCTTTGAAGCTATTGTATAAAGATAAAATAATTGCCTATTTAATAAAAAATATAATAATATCACTGATTACTTAAATTTTTCCCATATGAGGGCTAAATGCAAAACATTTTCTAAATTTTATTACAATAATTATATAAATAAAGTTCAATTTGTAATCAAACAAAATCTAAAATATTTTTGAAAATTTATTAATAATCGAAGAAGTAATAACGTACTACCTAGCCTGTTAATTCTAGAATTAAGTATCGTCGATAATGGTACCGATATTGTCAATCCCTTTGCAAGCTATTTTTCTAACACCTATTGTAATCCTCAATAGTCCTATCATCCATCTATAATTAATGTTGCGGAATGCTTAAACTCTATGTTAAATCTAAATTATCTTATTCTAACTGAATTTGTTGTCTTAAATATGATATCCCTCAACCTCAATTGCAGCACTGGTCCAGATGATTTATCAGTTTCCTTTCTATATAATTTTAAATTTATCCTTATGCCAATTTTAACTAATATTTTCAATATGTCTATTAATAAAGAAGTTTTTCCTACTTTTTGGAAAACATTGTTTATTTTTCCTGTTCATAAAAATGGGGACCCTTCTTTAATTTCTAACTATTGCCCTATCTCTGAGATATCTATCATTCCTAAGTTATTTTCAATTAATCTCATCTAAATTATTAAAACTTTGCTCCTCTTTTCTTACAAGTAAACAATACGGTTTTATTCCCTAATCATTCGACCTGTAATAATCTATCAATCACCAAAAATATAGTCTTCCGAACTAAATGCACAAACAGACATGGTTTATACTGATCCAAGGCTTTCGATCTAGTTAATCATTAAATCCTAGCAAAGAAACTACAATCCTTCGGTTTTTCTGGCTCTATACTTCTTTGATTTCAATAATTTCTTTCTAACCATTTACAAATTGTTAAACATCTTAATTTTCAATCTGCACAGTTCCATGTTCCTTTTGGTGTTGTTGAAAGAGACCACCTGTCTATTTCACTCTTTAATATATTTATCAACGATCTTCCTATCGTTATTATAAATTCTAAAATTTTTCTCTTCGCTGATTACACTAAATTAATAAAAATAATAAAAACGGAAAAAGACTCAATCAATTTACAATATTATATTGATAATCTAATAATATGGTGTGATTTAAACAATTTATCTTTAAATATTAATAAATGTAAGTTTATACATTTTTACCGTATACAAAATCCAATTAACTTTCAAAAGTTTATATCTGATTCTAAAATAGAACTAGTCTCTGATTTTAAAGACCTGGGAATAATCTTTAAAACTAAATTCAATTTTTCTATTTACTCAGAAATGATAAAAAATAAAATTTTGTGAAATTTAGATTTCATTAAGCGTACCTTTTTCAAATCCTATTTCACTAAAACTACTTTGTTCATTGAAACCTTGATTACTGTTCATTAGTTTGGTTAAATAATACACTTTAAACAAAAAAATGATAAAATCAATTAATTTTTTAAGATTTATTTCTTTGAAATTTAATATTTTTAGACATCCTCACAGTCAAAAGAACTTGAAGAATTAAAAGAACATATTTCTATCAAAATGTTTACATAAATTGTCAACTAATGTTATTGTCCAGCGTTGTTGTCTACATTTAATTTTAGAATAAATAGCCTTAACATCAGAAACTTCTTGCTATTTTACCCTGTTTCCCCAAATAAAAATTATATTTTTAATTCCTCTCATAACATTTTGATGAAGGCTGATAATACCTATGTATTTGATTTTACCTAATATTTATTGTCAATAATTTATTCTTAATTTTAGTCTTTATTCATTAATTATGTATATTTCTAATTTAGCTGTATAATTGGACACTAGTCCATTTATAAAAAAAAAATTAACCAAAACCGTCATGACCCCCGCTGCAGACGAGTTAATATTGGTGTATAACAATTAATAATATTATTATCATATTATATTATGTGAGAACAGGTAACCACCACCATTAACAACAGTGTATTTATTTTAATCTTAATCAATTGCATTTTAGAAACAGTAGATATTTATTGTATATATATATATTTATAGGTAATTTATAGTTTACATATTGGGTGCAATGTAAAATAAGTTATTTTAATCAATGTTTAGTTGTAGTATTATATTCACAGATAAATAATAGTTGTTTATATAGAAAACTTTTGATTTTGACCAGAGATTTTTCAACAATGTCATATCTGTGTGAATAATGTCCGATAAGTTTTTTGACTCCGTGTACTATGCATCTAACATTTCAAAGTTTAATAACATTGATTAACTTTGCACTAACTAGTGGTACTATTTAAATAACTATCTAACAAACTTTTAAATAACTAGGTATTATTTCAACTGAGTTACAAATAAATGCTTGATTTTTCTCATATTGAAATTGGCTTTTGAAATTTCAGAGTCTACGATTTATTTATGATTATTATTTATTATGCATTCTCTCCCATTAAACATTTTTGGATATTCCACTAGTATAGTTTAAGGCAGATATAATTTTAAATACATTTTAAGAATTTTGAACAATTAATAATTAAATAATGTATCGGTTATCTATGTAACGATAGTCGAAATATATATTTTAAGCAAAACACAGTACAATATATAATATACCTAGGTATAAAAATCTTAAAACATATTTTTGAAACATATAAATCCATAATATAAATACATTTTTATCATACAGTATATTTATAATCAAAACTCATTTTTTATTCTATAAATTTGTTTACAATAGTAAGGCACATTGTTACATTGAATAATAAACAATACAAAGTACAACAATAAGTAATAAAACTTAGACAAATTAATTGTATCACATGTTTTTATATTTATTTGCTCATTATATAGATTATATCATAAGTATAGGAAAAAGAAACATTTGTTTGAAATTAAAATACAAATTAATTTTAATTAATTTGTATTTAGATTTCAAATTCAGATAATGTTATTTATGAATGTGAAATATGTTAATCTACAGCTGGATTTTTATACCAGTGTTTTATACATTTTGTTTTGGTAAAACTGTTGAAATAATACCACCCATAATTTTTAGGTGCTCGTAATATAATATATGCACTAAATATTTTTCTTTGACGTAATATTTTAGGTAGTTAAAAAAAGAACAAAATTTGTACTTTAAAAATTTTAATAATGAATGAATATAAAATAAATTTAAGTACCTATTTTAAAATAATTATTAACAAGAGCAATTGCCATTAGTTTTCTTATCGCTGGAGGACAGCACTTGATTTAATAAAATCTGTCCCTTCGTTTTTGAGTGCGGTTTATATTGAGCAGTGTTCTTCAAAATCTGAAATTAACATAATAAAATATTGAGTCAAAATGTATAATATATTATTTTGGACAAAAAAAAAGAACTATAGTCGAGAGAATGAAAAGTGGCCACTAATGCGCATACTCTTGTGGAAGTATAGACAAATCAGTAATGCTTATGGTGATGTTATTGATTTAAAATATTTGCTCTAACAAAAATCAAATACGTTCCACAAATCAATTATCCATTAGTATAGTAAAATGTTCACTGACTGATCGCAGGTACAGGTCGAAACTTTCTTTCTCTACTAAGCTTTCAAATGGTAAACTCGAATGTTCTGACCTATTAATCTTAATACTTGTTAATTTATTCCATACTACACCTATTATGCAACTACTAATGACATCCATAATTTTCCTATGATCCGTTTTATAAATGCTGCAAACATCAATGAATCATTTATGGTTTATTATAGGTACCAAGTTTTTTTTTATACTATTAAATGTTACTGATTATATAATATATTTTATTTTAGATATTTTTAAGGTTTGTATGTAGGCATGCATGCAATTGACTGTACAATGTATAATTTGTAATTGAGCTTTTGTCATGTTTAATTCAAATTAATAAATACAAATTAAATGATTCATTAATCAATCAAATATCATAATGTGCACTACATAACAAAATTCTTACATTTTTCTATAATTAAGCAGATGATTTGTGGTATATGATTTAAATTCTACACCTATAATAATGTATTAATACGAGTATGACTTATATTTGTTTTTTAAATGAGGTAAAATAATTTGAATTAACATTAAAAACAAAAAGCTCATTAGCCTAATAGATTGAGTCAATGTATACATAGATAAAATGAAATACATTTAGTAAAACTTCTCTAATGTTATTACCCGTAAATATAATATTTTAATTTGCACTAATTAATTATATAAACCCATGGAGCTGTTTTCATTAATGACTAAAAAGTATAACATTATATGTAAAATATTATAGTACAACTAGAGCACAGTTAGGTATTAAAATGAAATAATATGTATACGTTGAATGAATGTCACGATCTAAGGGGGTTGGTTAGGGTTTCTAAAATTTGAAAAATGTCTTTAAATAATATTTATGACCACCATAGATACAGAGGTTTTACACTAATTTCCCACTAATCTACTGCCCAATATTAATTAAAAGGAAAAGGAATACAGCCCTTTTTACAGATGAATAATGTCATTTTAGAATGCAAAATGCCAGATAAAACTGTTGGAATGGTGTTTGACAGATTTCAATTTTGAAAATGTATTAAGTATGATTCTTTAGACTCTTTATTAGAATTATAATTTTAGTTTTAATTGTCTTTATCATCTACTTAGTAAAAGACAAAATACTGTATGTATATTTTTGACAATTCTTCAAATGGGTACAATCAAATTTGTCTACAATTTTCAAGAAATAATAAAATTTATGATTCCAACCTAATATTTATCATAATGTATAAAAACCTAAAGAATTATAATCCGTTTTCAAAATTGAAATTGCCTACAGATTTGTCTGGTTTTTTAGATCTATATTGACTAAAATATGTTAATTCCCATCATTTTTTATCCTTATTACAATGGATTTGACATTATTTCATGTATATTTTACCTGGGCCACAAGTGTCTTGGCTGCATCATCAATGTGAACGTTTTCTTTGGCTGATGTCTCGTACCACGCAGAGAATTGGTTTTCTTTGCAAAATTCGTCCATTTTAGCAACACTGTTCACCATACCTTCTTTTACCTGATCGCACTGTAAAACAATTCAATTATTTAAATTATTAGATATTTTAGTATATTTTAGATATTTAGTCATCAATAATAAAAATACCCAACTTATTATTTAATATATTTTTTAAGTTCTGGCGAAAAAGGCTATTATTGTTGATGGGTTATACAAATGCCATTCAATATAGACACTTTGTCAAATATTAGTAATCGTACCAAATACAATATACAACAATTATCCAGTAACTATAAACTCAACAGTTACTGATCTTATATAGTTATAGTCTAACTGTTTTAAATTAAAAATATTGAATACTTGCATTTTATTAAAACGTTTGTAAATGTAAGCACCTAAGTATAAATTTATTTAGGTATTACACAACGTATTATACATTAAATCATTTACGATTGATCCAGTTAGAAATAAAAAGGAATTTTATTGGAGATAACTAGAAATAGGATATTGATGAATTTTGCATTTGTTCTCTTTTAATACTACACAATTCTATCTTAGTTAAAAACTCATCTCATACTTATTTATTAATTACTTATTTATATTGTTATATTGTTATTGTATACTTTGTAGGACATTATCCTTAAATAATAGATTTTAAAGAAGATTTATATAACATATTTTAGAATCTGAGTAGAGTTAAGAAGCTCATAAGCTTGGTTATCATGGTTTTACAATGATATTTATTTTTTTTATATTTGTGTGTACATTTTCTACCAGAGTGTAGCACCTTTTTTGAAAGGAAACTGTTTTCAAAATTAATATATTTTTAATAGATAATTATGAAAAATCAAAATACTGTCTCTAGAGATGACAAATAATTGTAGAATTGTAGGTACCTACATACCTATTGCTATTTATTTTTTTTTAAAAAAAGACTAGATATTTATTTGGTCTTTCCAAGGCCGTATTCAGACTTTTTTTTTGTGATGGGGTCCAGAACACTTACCTACTTATATCTATCAATATTGAATTTTACATTTAGATAAACCAAAATACTATCAGAGGCGGACTGGGCTGGTAGGATTATTAATAATTTGAGTTGCTACGTACATCATGCGCGATTTGTTTAAAAATGTATTGTTATGAATACAACGTATTTAAAATTTAGATATAATAAAACTGGTTTGGTATTAAAACAGAAATATTCTAAACGTAGGTACTAGCTTAAAGCTGAGTTTTCATTACGTCGTGTCCCGTACGTATTCTGATTGGCTAAACGGTTGGTTAATACCTGGTACTACTTGGTTCAACTAATCAGAATACGTAGATTAATGCACCGGACACGGTGTAATGGAAACTCAGCTTAATTATTCATTATTCATGTCATATTCAAATCTTGTTTATCGAGTTAATTGGTTAAATAAATTAAAATTTTTTCTGTGACTAAACTTTATGATAAAAATGATGCACCTAAATCCAAAGATGACACGTTATCAGCGAGCAACGGTTAGTAATAATAATAATTATAATATCTACTATAAATAAGTCACAACTCGCAATAGATAGCACTTGGCGATTTATTTTTATTTTGTCCCTTTGGTTACATAATACATTTTCAAAAATAAATAATTAACTATTCCAATTGTTTTCAGAACGCTATTAGAAGCTATAATAAGTTTACAACTGAAAATGTTTATTGGAATAAAAAAAAAAAAAATTATTTGTGTTATACACTTTTTTCTATTTTGAATATGTATATGATAACATGGCTATTACATAAATTTTGAATCATTCCGTATAATGTAGATGTTAGTACCTATAACACATGTTACATTTATATTAAGTTATACGTATAAAATACGGTTTACGCACTTTGTTTGCGAGCAGGACGCACGGTATCGGTGTCCCGTCCTCCTGAGAAACCTTTGCGTCCAAGTCTTGTTTCCACTTGACTACCGCGTCAAACGTGGCCGGACGCGTAACGTCAAACACTATGAACGCTCCCAGCGCGTCTTTGTAGTACACCCGGGTCATGTTCCCGAATCTCTCCTGGCCTATAATAAATGTCACAATCAAAACGGGACAGGGATATTATTTGTTAAAAGCAGCGGATAATATATAAGAGCAATATACGGGCAAATAGGTAGATATAGGTACGAGTTTTTGTTTGTTTTCGGTAAGTCACAGTTCGCAGTGAAATAACCCAAAATTAAAAACCTATATTTACTTAACAAATTACCTATACTTTTATTATAATAATAGCACTATTTTCGGTAGCGCTGAATATCAAATCCGGATTACAACACAAATTATTTATTAATTTAATCGATTAACATAATAATAAGTAATAACCGTTAAACTGTCCAAGTTGTCTAGTTTGATGATATCTGCTATGTGTATAATTTCTCTAGTAATCCTAGCCGAATTTAGAGAAATTAACGGATCGGTCAAAAATATTGACCAGCGCGCTAGTTTTTATAGTAGGGTTCCGTGTGTTACTTATAATATTCCGTTCGAACGGTGTGATATTGAATTATACGATATTTACAATAATATAATGTAATATCTGGAATAATTTTCCACCCCGGTAAAGACAATAACAGTCTGCAATCGCATTGTTTGACGTGTTCAATAAATACAAAAAAAAAAAAAAAAAAAAAAAAAAACAAAACCGTGTATGGTGTGTCCAGTGATGTATCGAGTGATGTTCAAACAATAATCGAACAGAAAAAAATAATAATTGCAACAAATCAAATAAATAATGCTATTTTAACTCTGAACGAATTCGCATTATTTTTTTATATTTATATTTATATATATTTATACGTCTCGATAACTATACTGGTCCGTACAACATGACGTGTTGTACACCGTATTACAGTAGGCAATAATTGGTGTACCTATAATTGTGTATACATATATATTGTATTGTACTTTCACAGTAATTATTACGATTGATAAAGACGTCGTATTCGTCACGGGTCGTCACGGTGTACGTATACAAATAATAAACTCGTTAGGTTATACCTACAGGAAATGTCACACACATAAATCACGAGACGAGAAATTATCAAAAGCGATATCTAAATCTTCTCACATATAGAACTTCTTACGGTTTTAAAACGCCTCTGAATAGAATGTTTGTTGAGTGTTATAGATTGTCTACTTTTGATTTTTTAAACCCGATAGTCCTTCAATCCTAAAACGCCACTTATAATGATAAATGATAGCCGTGAACATTATTATCGTTATTAAACATTGTTTTTTTAAATTTATATTTGTTAAAATAATTTGTTGATTGTTTATTTCGAAGTTGAAACAATGTATATTTCCCTCTTCATTCTTATTATTTATAATTAATTATTAAGTTTAATTTATTTGTATATTTGAAATTACTGTACTTGAGCTTTTGGCGTAAATTCAAATGATTCAACAAATAAATAAATACAAATTATTGTATAGGACGCGGAAACTTTTTTCAAAGGCCATCACAGCAAAAAAAAAAACAATATATTATTTTAAAGTGCACTAATTTTAAATCATTTTCATTTTACGGTTTTTTTTTTTTTTTAAGTATATACTAAATAGTTATACGCGTTTAGCCTGCAGTATCTCTATATTAATGGTATTTTTCAATACAACGGGTATATTATTATATTTATGACTAATTGATTTTTTTTGTTTTACGATTGACAGCGCATACTGTCCAGTACTAGGGTGACATGACGGGTAATGAGCCACGGTTTCATGAAATTTAGGGGCCCCAAATCTCGGTACCCAAGGCATTAGTTTTCAGTGGATGGACAGATGAATAAAAAACTGGCGATGACCATTGCTTTGTCAAATTTATGGTGGGGGGATGTACACATGAAAATACATGCATGTATTTTGCTTATCAGCCTTTTTGCTTTGATGTTTATGCTAAATTTTTAAGATATTTTAGATTAACATTCAGTATAACATTTTTGTTTTTGAAGTGGTTGTTTTAATTTCGGGCGCTGTCGTAGTGCACTCTATGTAAGTAAGACAGTTTGCTACGGGCATTAGAAATTCTAGTTACGCCACTGATATTGTTCGAATTCTAAACGATCCGTGTAGCACTATAATATAGTGTAAGTACAGAAAACTTTTAGCGTTTTTGCTAGGTATATAAAAATCGATGTTGAAACGACAACGTGTTGCGGTAAAATAAAACTTTACTCCGATATATTTAACGCCGCCGACCGCGACTCGGATAGCGCCGAATAGGACGACAAAGAGCTGTATATTTTATTAAGAACACGGATCGCAATTTGGGTGGGGTAATATTTAAGTTCTATTTTTTTTTTTATTGCAGACTGCAGTATGCCCGACCGCAACTGGCGATAATAATTATTAAAAACCCGACGTAAAAGGTATTTTTTTTTTAATTATACAGTATAGAAATGTAATTTACGAGTCGGTTTAAAGAAAAAAAACATAATTTTTTTTTTAATAGTTAATTTAAAACATTTATATTCAATTCGTATACAACATGGTAAAACTATTTATTTTTTTCCAAGTATAACCACGATAGCAGTAAAGGGGTTTTGTTTAACACAATACTTCACTTCCAGCTATTATCCTATGAATCAGCCGAAGAATTAGCTTATAGTCCATCAACATCCCCTGACAAGGTTAACTTATAGGAACTTCATATTATAGTCCTTCAGGAACGTCATTTGGGGGGGGTGTGGGTGCAGAGTGTACATTCGCACCTACTATTTTTAAAACGTCATCTTTGGCCTACCAAAAATTATATATAAGCATGGATATACCTCCTAAGTGTTTAATAGTATCATCATATTTTGAGTTGGTATTATATAGCTGGCCCCATATAATTGGCAAAAAAGAAGAACATAGAGGGGTATTTGACCGATTCTACCAAAAAAAAAGAAAAAGTGCCCATTATTGTGGCCTGGTAATGGTTTGAAATGACTTGCAAACATTTTAGCTCCAACAATATAAAATTGAAATGACGCCCCTGGGGCCCTTCTTTTTCGTGACCCGACTAGAACCCGCCCCGGTCCGGGGTTACCAAAACTATTTGGCACATCTGAAGTTCCATACCTAACGCGTAAATACGACGGTTATTTTTCAAAATAATTAATGATCGCGACATTATAAACACAGTGCAGGATAATGCATGGAGACGGTGTGTAAAGTGTCATAGTTCCGGACCTCGTAATTTTAAGCGTATCGTAAGTCGGTTTTAATGGGTACTTAATGGGTTAAGCGTGTGGTTTAGCAGGTGGTTTGATATACGCTAATTATAGCGCGTTTCGTTTTTGTTTTTTTTTTTAGTTAAGTGCATTTCATCGCTGGATAAGCTAATAGCGGCTGTAATATGTAGTGTGATTAATAGACAGGTATTATTTCGCGAAATGTAATCAGAATAACGTACAGATTATACGAATTAAAGGACTGCACAAACTCGAGATAACATAAATAGGTATCGCAGCACTATAATAGTGGTTTGTTTATATGTATCTGTATTATAGTTATTTTTCAATTTTGCAGACTGTACACCAGCACTTTTAATGACAGATTCCTCGTCAAAAAAGTGTATACTTTTTTTATAAACGAGCATAGACGCCGGATTACCGGTTTACCGAAATCATTAACCGGAAGGGCAAGTTAATTAATTATTACACTCACCGGCTATGTCCCATAGTTGCAGTCTGACGATAGAGTTTGAATCCCAGTTGAGGACTTTTAACGCGAAATCCACCCCAATGGTCGCCCGGTAGTGTTGCGAGAAGAACTGGTGTACATAACGTTTGATTATGGAAGTCTTGCCGGTGCCGAGCTCGCCGATGACTAAAATCTTGAATAGGTATTCCGTGGGCGTGAACGAACTTCTCGACTGGATACGAAAAAACACAAAATAATTATTATTATCCGTTAAAAAAAGAAAACAACTCGATTACCAATATTATTACAATATCCAATGTTAGTCATTCACATTTTTAACTCGAATATCCCTAGTCAATTAGATTATTAATTAGAATTGTTTATCAAGAATTATAATTTACTTAACTATACAGTTTGATTAGATATTTTGATTGCGTATATATATATAGACTATAAAGCGAATATTTTAGACGTGTGTTGGCGTGTTTAAAATACACGAATATTTTAAATACGCGTGTGAAATTGGACAACGTAATTACAGTAATTAAACGCATATGTAAAATAATAACTCAACGTTTGCAGATAGGTATACAATCTAATGTAATCTAATCTGATTATTTTTAGGGTTTTGAACTATTATTATTGGTAAATATAGATTATTATCAACGTGATAGTTTTTTTCAGGAAAAAAAGAAACAATGAACTAACTTTTTTAACCGAGTTAATATTGCCTACTAACATATTTTGCATTTAAATTGTTTCCATTAACTTGTTCCCGATTTTTGCTGTTGTATACGAGTTAGTATATATCAATTGTACGCTGTTCGCAGACAATTTATATTTTGTACGTTTAATCGAAAAATCGGATATCTACCTATATTATATGGTAATTTGTACAAAAACTGTGTTGTTCGATCCGTTCAATCGTTTATTATAAATAATACATTTCGATTTATATACTGTTAAAGGAAATTCCGTCTTCAAGTTTTATTTAACAACATGATTCGAGTAGGTTAACGTCATGAATCATAACTGAAACAATATCCTTATAGGTAACGTATATTGAATATTTTACAACAGTGGTTTTCAATCTTTTATATGAATCGCAACTCCATAATTTTTTTTTTCATTTTTGCCGACCCCTTCAAAAATCGTTTAACAAAACTTGAATGATACGATTTACAGTATGCATGATACTTATAGTTTTTGACGACCTCCTCACATCACTCGTGACCCCTTTGCGGGTCACGACCACCAGGTTGATAAACACTGTTTTACAACACCGCAATGAAAACGAACCTACTTTTTTATTTAATATTTGTTCATACCTCATATCTGTTTACGTATACGGATATTAACATTGGACGCAACAACAATTAATAATAATTAACATTCAATAAACCGTTGAAATTCAAAATAAATCTTTTTTTTTAATCGATTTGTTGGGGATATTATTTTTTATTACATTATAAACCTAAATAAAGTAATATACTCGTATACATATTTATATACAGTCGGTTTACGAGTATAGTGGTTATTTTATTGACTGATAATTTATTAATACAAATAATATCGAATACTTATATGTATGTTTTATAATATTCGAATTATCAAATATTTTTAGTTGCCTACCATTGATGAAATTTGATTTATCGCAATTCGACTGTTTTATACAAAATATATCGTGTATATATATATATAGGTAGGTGATATAATAACATTTGTCATTTAATAACAGTTTTAAATTTTGTTTTATCTCTATATATTCTCAGTAAATAATTAGGAGATTAGATTAAGAATAGTATAATGATATGTACCCTGGGGTCACGACGAATTCGATTTTCAAACCATTAGTTATAAAAAAAATCTTATACAGAGTGTTCCACGGGTTATCTGACACTTGAAATAATTTTTGTTTCATTCAATATTTTTTTTTTTTTTTTAATAATTAGTATGCTTTGGGCTATAGTTAATGCAATAATATTTTATCTTAGTTGGAGAACTTAGAAACAAAAAGTTTAAAATTTTACTTTAATTAAAAATAACTATTTTGTAAAATAGGTTTTTAGAAAATTTTCGGTGATTGAAACTTTTGTTTACAAGTACGATCTTTTATTTTCGACAATTTTTTGTAGTTTTGGCAAATGCAAATATTATTGTGATTCATAATCTATAGTAATATTTAATCAGAAGTTAGAGCATACAAAATGACAATGATTTTCTTATCATACAATAAAACGACTTTTTACTGATTAAATATTGTATTAGATTATAAACTACAATAATAATCGTATTTGCGAAAACTTCAATGAATGATAGAAAATAAAATACATAATACCTACTTAAACAAAAGTTTCAATTACCAAAAATGTTCTAAAAATCTATTTTACAAAATGGTTAAGTTGATTTTTTTTAAAAAAAACTATAGTAAAATTTTTAATTTTTAATCTTAAGTTAACACACCTAAAAAAAAAAAATGACTATTTTATATTAACTGTAGCGCAGAGGCATATTAATTATTTATTATATATTAAACATATTTAATAGAATAAAAATTAGTTCAAGTATTAGATTATCCGTGGGACACCTTGTATAGTTCTTTTATTAATGTATTTATTAGATAACAACACATTTTTATTTAAAATAATATCCGTATAAGTGAATAACATATTATAAACTGTACCTTCATAATATTTTGCCCGTTTGTAATACGAATTATATATTTGTTGTACCTATATAATAATGGTATACTATATTATAGTAATATTATAATATTAATATTATTAATATTATTATTATTAGGGAGGCATATTTTTTTAAGAAATAAAACATTGTAGTCACACCTCTCTGTGAAAATGTCCAATACATTAGCGACCGAGAGTTACTTACTAATCAGATAAACGAATGGATATACAGAACTCGAATTGGATAGGGGGAGGTGAAGGTGGACGGATTCTACTTTCATTTGTTCATATAGATTTAAATTTGGCACTTTATTTAATTAATCCAGAACGGTTTCGTCGGAAACGGTTGGCTTTATACAGCGTGACTGTTTTTCATTGTTTTCCGAAATTAAAATTTGATTATTTGAGTTTTGGATCTGAGGGGCGAAAAAAGTCAAAATATATATTATATTTATATGCTCTCAAAGATGAAGACTCATGTTTACTCGTATTTATTGTTTAGACTTAATAATATTTTAAATTGGTTACTTATTACATTTTTATAACAGATATTTTATACTTGGGCAGCAACACCATTATAAAATACGCGATTTTATACGTTTAGTATTTTTTTAATTTCGGTTTTGACATTCCTTATTCTTTTATTTTTTTTTATCATCAATTTATATACAATTCTAGTCGAGTTGAAAATATTACGTAATTTTGTTAAAGCGGTTCTGTATTGAAAACTATGTACTTATAAAAAAATAAAAAAAATAACACGAGAATTACAATTGATGATTGCAAATGAATTCAAAACTCGTTTTTTTATTTTATAAATACAAAATAATTTCTGATTTCATATATATATTTATAAAATTGAAGCTAAAATAATTGTTCTAGGTATTTTTCTTTAGAATATTATATATTTTTTTAAATTATTCATATAATAGAAGCTGATAGAAGCAGATAGAATTGAATTTATTATCCTATATTGTTATTATTATTATTATTGATCGTTTTTGTTCTTAAGTCATAATGATTATAAATAATTATTTACATTTTTAGTATTCTAGATTATTATTTTGAATTCAAAACTAGTGAGATAAGTGCCTACTTAATAATTTTAGAGAACGGAATTAATTGTTCAGTCAGACTGTGATGTAATAATTTGTTCAGAAATATTACAATATAACATTTCCATTATTAGCTAGCAGTAGTAACTGTTTGATTTTGTTTTTTTTTAGTATAATTAAAGTGGCCTGAAAGTTTAATTGTATATTATATACCTATGTGTAAATATGGGAAACCGTCTTATGAAAAATGCCTATATATTAGTGCAGTTATCACAAATATATTACTGCCAATAATTGAATTGAAATATTTTTTTTTTTTTTAATTTAACTGTCTATTACATTTATAAACAGCAGAGAATTTAATGATAGCGATTATAGGGAGATATATTTCTTGACCTCTTTTTATTATCTATTATTTAAGACAACTTTTTTTATTTTTAATTCAAATTTATTTACTTCTTAATCAAAAAAATCTAAAATATGTTGATACCTACCTAGTTTATATATCAAACAAAACCTAAACGTATACGTCATTTTCTTGTTGAAAACGAAACCTATTCGAATTACATTAATGTGAAGGAGTCGGATTAGTATAGGAGATAAGAACCTAATTAAAGTAAATAAACGGAAAATTAGTACGGCCATTTCAAACGCGGAATATACTGGTACTGGTCCTCAACAATCAAGGTTTCCCAGAGTATAAAAATTAAATACACCAATAGGTATGTAAGTCAGTTATCAAATATACATGCTATTTGAACGCGTAAATGTAAACAAAATAAAAAACGTATTGTAAGGCACAATAAGAATGTGAGAGATATACTTAAATAAATAAACTACAATAGACCAATTTTTAAATAATAAAGCAAAATTTATAAAATAGTTATAATTGTCCATAAATCAATAATGGGTATTTTGTTGTATATTACAATAATTATTGTGTAACTGTCTGCTTCGTTTTATGTATTTTATATTTTAGCTTAAATTTTTAATTTAACTATAGTTGATGAATGAGGATTTATAAAAACTATAGGAACATTGTAAATATTTTAGAAGCCTTGAAAATTAAATTTTGAAGAGTACCAGTATTCCGCGTTTATAATTTCGTTTGTTATAAACTCTATGGACCGTACCAATATTTAGACAATCCTAAACTAATATAATAATTACTGATGTCTTGGCAGATTGTAATCAATGATAATATACCTATCTATAGTCATTTGATTTCAGTGATAATTTTAGGGCTGATTGAATTACAGATCACTTAAAAAAATTTTTTAAGCCTCTCTTCTTAGCCTAAGTACATGTTACACAATTCAATATCTCCTTGAAGCAAAATCCAAAATACACCACTAAGGTTTATAAGCATTCTCGATAAAAGTTGTTTCTATTGAATTGAAAATAATTTAAATTTAACATAAATAATTATTTCGTAAGATACACACAGATTTATATTGGATATACCTACTCAGCCTTTTGCATGGTAAGTTACTAGTTTGAGTGGGCTACAAGGGGACATGTAAATGTAGTATATTGTATTATTACTTAGAATTTGAATTTGATTCATGGTTAATTATCATACTCGAATTATGACTTCAAGTAGATTTTTAAACGGGAGCTTAATTTTTTGCTCACTGGTTTCAAATTTTTTTATTATTTATAGTCAAAATTTACATCGAATTGGAGAATATTTTAAAAAGCATATTACCGTAAAATTACAATCTGTAACGTTTTGAGCGTTCAGATAAACAAAAATCGCATTAACATTATGCAAAACAAATAATGCCTAACAATTTTTCTTACTTTTTAAATATTGTGAAGAATATAGGAAAATTAAAATATTTGAATGATTTTTTTTTATTATGCCAAGTTCGCCTCTAATAGTTTTTATACGGTTTATATTCGTATTTATATTTAAATTATAGGTACATATACATGTTTGTAAAAAATATTTATCAAGTGCAAACACTTTTTTAACGTTTTGGTTAAACTATTAGGTCTTACTTTATTATGACTCTCGGGCATAATAAATAAATATAAATAAAGTATTAATAGTTCGCCGCACCCGAATGTTCATGTCTTACAAACGCTTGACATAGAAAATTCAGGTGGGGGACAATTTTATGCTTTTAGTTTTAGTATTAGACTTTAGAGTGAATCGGTCTATTATCAAACTTTAAAAAAGGAGCATTGTTTGGTGTAACTTTCTTGGTAGTCTTTTCTCAATATTTTCATTTTCAAACGAGATGTAAGCATATTTTAATTGTGAATTTTTTACATACTCGCATCTCGCTTGAAAATATTAAAATATCTAGAAAAAAAACCCGACTCATTGGCGCAATTAGTGTTAATGCCTTTAAATTTGATTTAAAGTCAATTTACTCTACTATTAAAACTTGTCCCGGTTGAATAAAAATGGCGTGCGTTTGTGAGGCGAGAACAGATCAGGCGGATGTGACGTCCTCTTTACACAAGTAATAATATTGTATTGTAAAGATTAACGTTTGTATTATAAGTAATAATGAGTTACATGATATTGTCCGGTAACTGAAGCAAAAATTGAAAAAATAAGTTATCAATCAATGAACTAAAAATATTAACTATTATCTAATTATAAAGATATTTGCTATCGGTTTATAATTTTAAAATTTATTTTTGAGTATAAAAAAAAAACGTGTTCGATAATTTTTTGTGTAAATTTAAAAATATTCTATTTTCATGCATGTTTTTAGTTGTATAATAAAAAGGCAGTTATTTAAATAGCTAAAAAATCAGTTGATAAATTCTTCACTTTTTTTTGTGTAGGTTTTTGTGCAGGTGTACTCAAAACCTGTTTCTAAAACTATAATATTAAAAAAAAATTAAACCGGTATTTTAAACTAAAAATAGTTTTAAAGTTTAAGTACAAACATACGATGGCATATAAACAAATGTTGTGTTATCACAACATACACAAATCTAAATCTAATCAGAAATATTTTTTCCTGTTTTATAATTTGTTCAAGACATTATCGGCGAACAGTTTCCCGAACTGTTGCAGGTTATTTAATACAATCTATATAAAGTGTTTAATATTGAAAATTAAAATAATATAGGTTACTATTTTTCTTTAGGTTGTTTTTTTCTTACGAACGAAACATCTTTTACCCCGATTTTTATAAATAAAAATTCACTTCTCAATTCCAAAGAATTACGACGTAATAATTATCGAGTAATTAAAAAAGAAAAAGAAAAAGTAAACAAAAAGAACGAACGAAACAAAGAATTCGAATTTTTTAACAAATAACAACAAACGCTCAGCAGCAGTTATTTACTGTGTTTGATGATCATATTAGTAATCACTGTTATGTGTATATATTTATACAGGTATTGAGTACATGTTTATAAAAAGTCACATGCGTAATTACATATTATTGTGAAAAATATAGTCTTGCTTCTTCCCCTTAATCTTCATCCCAGCTATTTGGGGTCGACCACCCTCGTCCTAGACTTTCACTTGACCCAATCTCCAACCTTGCATACACTGGCTGCCCACGAGTGTCCTCATATCATTCTCAACAATTTTTTTTTCGGCCGTCCTCTCTTTCCCCGGATGTTTATTTTCATTACCATTCTTTTACTGATCTTGGTTTCTCTCTCCTCGTGTCATGCGCAAACCATCTCGATCTGTTTTCTCTTATTTTGTCTACTATCGAAGCCTACGCTTATTTACTATTATGTATTCGTTCCTATCCTATATCTTCTCTCATCCCTCTACTCATCCACCAACAAACATTCTCATCTCTGATACACTAATTTTACGTTACCGCTTTGAACAGTCTCATTGTAATTTACTATTGTCACATAAAAAACCTGAAGCTCTTTTTCATTTTATCCCATCACAGTTGATTTAATTTTACTCGTGATTGTTACACATCGTCTTTTTTTGTATTTTTAACTCAAATATCCGAGACGGGACGATTCGTTCAAGTCTTGGTTCAGGACTCTTCAAATTATTCGACAAAATTATTTTGGACACCGGCTGACGACCCGACTGCGACTCCATTTGTCGACTTATCCGTTGGCGTTATAGAGGTACCATGGGAGATTTCTGATTTCCTCCCACTTTGTAAAAATATAGTCTACGTTGGTATATAATATAATAATACATAAATACATAACCGAAACAATTTATATAATGTTTATCATCGTAAATCGTTATTGCAATATACGTTTTTTATAAACAGCTTTACGTACCAAACTGCTATACTATATAGCAGGTACCGTGGCATAAAGCAATATTTATGTAGACATATATTCTCTTTTATGGCCAACGGTTTACGTAAAGTTATTCGGTAAACATATGCTTTTTTTCGTAAATATAGGTGTACAATACTTGTATACTATAATAGAATACATCGAGATATCGTTTTCGTCGTAATATTATTAGTACCTACTGCGATATTTTTTCCATTTCGCTTATTAGTTTTTTCAACGCTGAAAGCCGAAAGCCTATATATATACACACACACACGACTTCAGAAGATTATCGCTATTACTACTGCAGTCCGTATACCGTGTTTGTGTGACGTCATGTGTCGTAAACTCGTAACCGGCTACTAACTCTGTACTGCGTTAATATTATATAGTAAGGTTTCAATCGATACGTGTAATATAATTTAACAATATTAGACGGGTGTACTGTACCACTGTGCTGTATTATTGTGCTATACGCATCACTAGTAACCGTACACCAGTATTATTATATATCTACCTACGTACTAAAATATATTATGTGCACAAAGTTATATAAGCGATGGTATAGAGTAAAAAAAAAGAAAAAAAAAGGGGCAGGGCGGCCTGATTGACGATAATATGATTAATAGTTGTGGAACAGTTTGGTAAACACTTATAAGCCACATAATATTTTATTTTATTTCACGTACGGTTTTTTTCCTTCTCGGTTTTTAAGCACCGAAACCTGCAACGAGTCGTGTTCCCTGCTAAGTATACGTTATTTTGGCTACGACAGTCGTGCCCGCGATAAAAATCGGGGGTGGGGGAAGAGTATGAACGAGTTTCGCATTTATAATATATATAATAAACAAACTCTTTGCGGATTTAGTAAAAAAATAATCGTCGGGTTTTTTCATATTATAACACCGTCGACAATCGTACGGTATTACACTCATTCTTCCGTTTCGTCCTATTCCCGTCTACAGTGTGGTTAGGGTTACTCGCTTGTTTCTAGAACACCTGGCCGTCAATACCGTTTCTCTGCGAGTACTCCACAGCGCGCATTCGTTTCGAGCGTACTTTATTATACCTAAACCGACCAGAGAAAATACTTCCTGGGATACAATATTATTGTATGTACCGTTATAAAATATGCGGCGGACACGAATCATCTGGTTCGGGAAACGACTCGTTATAACGCGGGCTTCAATGCGTGCTGTGAAAAACTTCGTACGGCCCGAGCCCGGAAGTATCGGGCGCTGTAACCGAGACAATACTTGACGTTCCCGTGCTTCACCTCGATCCCCGACGATAAAGCAGAGCGTCTGTAAAAAGGGCTTCGGGGTTTCGGGCGATGGTCTAGGGTGTTTACGACCTCGTTATTGACCATAGCCAAATAAAAAAAACGACGGAGAGGGGGGATCGCAGCACCAAAAATCTCCCGCGGTCACGAATACCCCGGCCTCGGGTACACACACACACACACACACACACACATAAGCGGTCTCACAGACGATAAGTTTCGTTATCGAACGCAATAGACACTCACCGAATAGTCCACGTCGTCGTTCGAACTTTCCGATATTATCCTGTGCCTGTACGCGCGAGTCTTGTTAAATGCCATAAATTACGGGGCCGCGAGAAATCGCGTTCGTCACTGAATTCGGTTCGGGTGTAGGTCCTCCGGCTGTTGTACGCCGGGTACGCGGGAAAACTTTACGGCGGCGCGAAAGGACCGAACGATTTTTCACGGTACGAAACGCGGTGACACACGACCGTCGAAACGCACCAATAACAAGTAAACAGGTAAATGTTTGCTCGGTTTCTGAGTGCGTGCGCCGGGCACTCGAAGTCTCATCGAGATCACGTCGACCGCCACTTCTCTTCAACCCGATAATATACGTTCGATTACGCAACGTGACGCCTTTAATTTATTCTTTTCGATTTCCCTCTCGATCCCTCCCCCCTCCCGCCGTCGTATGTTTCGCACTCGCGAGATTAAAATAATAATATAGTGCGGTTATAAAAACAATCGCATACATTAGTGGCTATTATACACCGTACACGCCCGACAGGACGCGTGTTAGTATAACGCCACCGGTTCGGCCGGCATAAAATCAATTATTATTAATAATTATCATAATATTATTGTCGGCTAATGCGTTTTCGTTTTAACGTAGCCTTGTAACATTGTGCAAATTATTACCGATGTTTTCCGGACTCTAGGCGCGTATCGCATACGAGGTGTGCCCGGTGTGTGGAGATCCGACGACGCGTGCGGTTCGAATAGATATCGTGGCACTCTGTACACGGTCGTTTTGCCGAAGCGATAAATTACGAATAATTATCTAATAATAATTACTGTGTATATAGGTAGGTATTATAATAATATGATTAGGTATAATATATTTACCATAGTTGCCGCGGCGCTTTTTTTGCGTTCGGCGACGTACGATTGCATGTGCTCGACTTCGTATTACAGATAATAAAATTGTTATACGGCACAGGTAAAAGAGAAGGAAGAAAAAACCGGGTTGTTTTTTTTTTTTTCATGCACTCGACACAATAATTGTCGCTCGTCGCGAAAATCTCGGCACACGAATATCCGTGTTTTGGCGAACGGTATTATTTTATTTATCGTGCACGCGGGCGATTTATGATACGATCGCGAAATATTCTACACGGCTGTCGCTACCGGTGCAATAATTAATACGCAGGCGACGTTTTTTGTAAATTACACCCAAACGGTCGTTTTTTTTTTTCTACAGAAAATTAAATTACAATAAGAAAATACGAAAATTAAACGGTTTTTTTCCTCTCCGCGCACGGCGACCGCGTCGAAACTAACTGGCCCGGACGGCGGTTGGCGCTGGACGAACACGCGGCGCGGCGGTGTGCACTTTGAGCGGACGGACCAGCGCGCTCCGTGGGACGAGCCGTGTCCTCCGTCGCCGCCGCGGGCAGTTTGTTGTGTTTGTTACGTAACAACGTCGCGGTCGTCGCCGATCGGGCGAGTGGGGAGCCTGCAGAGGACGCGGCGCGAGGAAGTCACCGCCGCCGCCGTCCGCCCACGCGCCCGATCGGGTCCAGGAAGTCGGAGATGCCGAGAAAACTATCGGAGGACAAAAAAATTGAGAAATAAAAAAAAAAAAAGGTCGATTGCTGTTTACGAAACGGTTACCTACTGTCGTAGGCTGGTAGTTGGCGATGGTAGGATGTGTCGCAGGGCAGATTGGTCGGTATGCCGTGCGAGCATGCTGTGTTTATTTTATACCACCCCCCCCCCCCGAAAATGCACGCAATTAGTACGTAAACTACACACGCTGATATTGTGATAGTAAGTACATTAAATGAGGTACTGGCCGATTGTGATTTGTCTTGTTGGCAATAATAATAATAAAAAAAAAGGCAGCTGATACTGAGGATAGGAGAGGCTACTGTTGTAGGTGAGAAATTGGGAAGGTATGATGCATAAGGTTATTTTATTTATATTTGTAAGCAACGATAAACATTGTTTGATGAAATACGATTCCGAGCGCAATTCGGTAACACATAATTTGAAGTGCCGTTATTGTTTATATATTTTCGTTTAAATTTGATTTTAAAACGCTTATTGAAAAAAAAAAAGTAGTCCGATGATTTTAGAAATATTACAACGTCTAGATAAGTCCAATATAAGTATTACAAAGTTTCAAGTCTCTACGTGTATTTATAACCGAATTGCAACAAAAAACTCCTAAAAATTAAAACTACTTAAAAGTTCAAAAGTTCTGGCGATGATACTGCAAGAAATTAAATCAAAAAGGTAACAAAAAAGATGCCTTGTGATTTTTCGATTTTATCATTTTTTCTGGTAGAAAACGTCGTCCGTGTTTTTATAAAATAATGAAATCGTGAAATTGTACGTTTTCTTACGTTTTTTCCCACTCCAGTGCTTTTATTTGAAAAATCGCGTAGAAAATCAAAAAATTACCTGTTTAAAGTAACATTAAGACAACTTGAGCTTTTAGAAAAGTTGCTACACGTAAAGATCGGAATAAGTTTACTAGGAAAATACGTGCCCACAGACTAGAACAAAGAAAAAGAAGAAAAAAAATAAATAGTATTGTAAAACCGATAGTACCCTCGCTACGCTCGAAATCTAAAAACAACAAACGGACATACTTCGCACAATGGGCGGGCCTCTGTTGTATAGGTGAGAAGTCGGGAAGATAGAGAAGAAATTTAATGTATATGAAAATTAATCCAACTTACATCACCCTTGAATCCGCATATAAAACAACGGATATCAAAAATCTCGAATTTGAGCCCATTTGATGCAGAGGGAGCCGTTGGCACCACAGACGCAATACAGTGAAATAGTCTCAAGGAAAATTTGACTTAAAGGGTCACGTTTTTCTGTTAGATTAGTGCATGTATTGCTCGATATTATTGACAATGCAATGATATTGTGAAATTGATTAAAATCCCTGTCCGTCGGAAGTTTTTTTTTTTACAGAGAAGGCGTCTCTATAAACGGAAATATATGTCATCACAACCGAGTTGCGTCCGCGATTTTTCGGCTACTATTCCGACTTGTGTCCGCAAGAATAATTGCTATTCTGTTTCTATGATGATAAACCCGTTAATATTTATCCGTCAATTGTCGATTGTGGATACCTTATAGGTTGGTAAATATCACCTATGCGCTTTATATTTGGAAATTAATTTTGTTCATGCTGATCATGCCAAAAACTTTCAATCTGATATTTATATTAAAATACAATCTCAAATTTAACAAACATACGAAGATTTTATTGATAATACTATGACTTAGTTTGAAACAAAAATACATTATCACGTCTTGAGTACGTTAAAAAATTGTTTGGTATTTGTAAATACAAAAATATTCACACATATTATTTTAAATTAATTTTTATCAAATACATTTTAGATTAACAAATAATTTATAATACCTAATATAATAATATATTTTTAACCACATCATTAATACAAATGACGGTCCTCAGTCTGTAAAAGTGGGAAGCAAAAATATGTATAAGTATATTACATCAATTATTAACGCGGACGCAACTCGGATTTGGCGTAAGAAAATCTTGGACGTAATACGGAAAAAATATCATTTATGGACGCAATTCGAATGCACCACTACGGTTATACACGAGACATTTTCCAGTGTCCATTTTTCCCGATTTAATTTGTGTTATCGCTGAATTATTATATTCTATATAATAAATTTCATTATCATTACAGTTTCGTGTGAAACGTCAACGGCGTTTTCGCATAAATTGTTAAGCAGAGGAAATGGAAAATAAATAAATAAAATAAAATTATTACATTAATTGTTAAAATTCGTTCATTCATACCTACGTGTATGATATTATTATAAATATTTTTGTGCTATTGGAAACGAAACGTTCGGATGATTAACATTCGGGAAAAACGGTATTGACGAAACCGTTTCTCCTTACACCCATTGCGTGCCGTGTCTGCATTCGCCAGATTTAAGCTCAGCGATTTTTACCGTGAAATTATCTTCAAAGATGTCGATTCTACACTCGCGTGGGGGATAATGGCGAAGAAGGATTTATAATATTTCATATTCGTATTTTTGTAATAATGAGATAATGTTAATAAAAAAAAAAAAATGACGATAAAACTTGACGATGGCGAGATTCCAGAAAACCTGTCGGATACCGGTTTGTCGACGACGGTGTCGGCGCGGCGGTGGGAACGTAAATAAGTGCTGGCGATTCTACAATTCATATTTTTACGGTCTTTACACGCAGGATCTCTCGACCGCGAAAAAGATATTCATATCCCGTGTCGGTACCTAATTATTATACCGCGTCTATATAGCCGCACATACCGGATTTGTTTCGATTACGTAAAAATGGGTTTTCGGTAGTGGCAACCAATCGTTTTGTAATATAATAATATAATCCAAGCAAATTGAATTCAGTTAATATATTTGCCAACACGTATAGAATAAAATCCCGCGACCGAATCGTTTTCCCGAAAATCTTCGGTTCTCATAGGTTTTAGGCATGCGTATCACATCGCTACGCGCTACACACCTGTGCCTATTACCGCGTCGCGCACAGCTTCACGCGCGATATTATATTTTTCGTCTCGTTGCGATGGCAACCCGTAAACGTCCGCAGTAATCACCTCGGTGATTATACCCAAGTCAAACGTTTACAATTTAAATACGATACGTTCACACGTGGCGGTGGGAACCGTTCCGGGAGAATATTTGCTTATATAAGAGTTTGCGTATACACCGCGGTGTACCTCCCCCCCCCTACAACACCTACGTATACGACCTAACCACCTAACCGCATACTGCATATTATTATGAGCCGTCCTTATGGCCACCGCATATATCCACAAACTATTTTCCATCGTGTCCATCCGGCGCTCGGGTTACGTGCGCTATAATAAAAATACGAAATCCCGAAAAAAATATCTGACGATCCGTGTCACGGATAATGGTACGGTGAGGATTTTATGGTGTAACCGTCTTCGGGCAGAATTACATTTTATGCTAATACACGCGCAAGACCGGTGTTTTAGTGCCGCACGATGCGTCGTTTATTAAAAATTATTATTATACGGTACTTCATGTACCGGCCGTATAATAATAATTATGTATGTATGTGATAAACATGCATGTGCCCGCGTGTGTACGGATCGTATCTGTGTTCGGCCCGAGTCGAAACGTCACCGGACGGGATTTAGGAGGCGTTGTAGACGGTTTCATAAGGGGTTTTACGAAAAGCAACCGAGGAAATTTCGGTTTGCCGGGTGTAGTAAAAATTAAACCTACATTTTAGTGTCCTAGCGGACGAGAAACCACGACGGGTTGCGTGACCGTTTACCGCATAGTATACCGCTCGAGCCGGACTCGGATAGGGTCGGTTAATACGCGACCGGTTTACCGGTCCGCGACCATCCTTCTCCTGTTCTCCCGTCCGCCGCTGCCGCTGCACCTAACGACGTTTAGTAGTTTACACTGGATCGGATTGTAATATTATCGTTACGTAATCCGCGGGTTAATATCGTCAGAAAAGAAAAAAAACACACCGCGGTGCAGTTGGTAGTGTGAAGACTATAGTATATATCGTAACATTACGATATTATGTTCTCCGCGGCTAGATGAAATTATTGATTTTCGACCGGCACGGCGTCGCGTCGTACCTCAACCACACCCCTCCGGCCGCTGTCGCAGACGATACCGTCGTGCACGTCGGTACGCCCGATACCGGAGGTTCTTTTTTTATGGTTTTTGTTTTTCGCCTCGCAGAATCGTGGCGTATCAACTCTCCACAACGGCAAGTATTACACGCAAAGAAGTTGCCCAATGCGTACAAATACCGCACGAGGGGTCATCCGCGTGTAGTGAGGAATCGGTGTTTCGATAAGTTTTAATCGTTACGACTAATAAATATATTGTTTTAGATTCTGAGTGGAGCGAAGAATCTTATGGTTTTACAAAGATGTTTAAATCTTTTTTTTTTTTTTCTGTGGACAACTTTTCTACTAGAAGACTTGCTTCAACTTTTAATGATAGCAATTTTTCTGAAAGGAAAATTCACTGGGGAGGTACTTTGGGGAGGTCGTTTTACCATTTTCTCCGGAGTTTTCTTAGCAAATGTGAAAAACTGGGAAAAAACATAGGAAAACTGGGAAAAACGTAGGAAAACCGAGGAAATTGGTACAACATTAATCAAATATTATCAAAGAAAATATATAAAGCCTATTTATTTATTTTACTATAATATGGCATATTATATTGACAAAGCATCACTATCAACTGAACTCCGCTCAGAATTGTTTTTAGTAAACAATGGTTTATCGTTACTTACATACATTTAATTCCCGTCTGTATCCTA